GGGCACGTAAGCTAGGTTATTGTTAGCTACATATGGTGGTGCTATCTAAAGAATGTCTTTAATTTTCAGTCCAGAGTGTCTGAAATTAGCTTTCCTGTTAGCTTTACAAATAGTTGTTTGAAATACAGTGATGTTTTAGGCCTAGTCCAAAGGTTGTTTTGCTCAGTTTGAACATTCCAGAGGTTTAAGGAGCAAGACTGTAAAGTTAACTAACATTTAAAATCAGATATATCGGTTTACTTGTATTCCCACTAGAGAGCATATTGGCTTTTCTGTCTCTTGTATTCTAGATAATATGCTCTTGACTGCCTATAGGCAAAGCTGTGAAGTATGTGAATATGGAAAATAGGTGGGAAATCAACTGGAAAATGGATTATGAGGTCTTTGTGTGTACAAGAGGAAAGAAACTGACTTTTTACCTAGAGCTAATCCATTAATTAAATTTATTTTTATTTTGTCATATACTCACCAGAGAGCAGAGAAGAGCAATTGAGTGAAGATCAAGGGCAATACATGTGACTGGAGTAGATAATTGTAGGATAGTAGTAAGAGATGAGGTAAGAAAGAAGTCTGTAGGAATATTGGATTAGGACTAACCGAATGAAGAGATTCAAATGCTAACCCAAGGAGATTAGATTTAATTCACAAAGCAGTGGTAAGCAATTGATTGTTTTTTAGCAGGCAAATGACATGGTGTATATTGCTATCCTATTTTACAGATGAGTCATGGAATCAGTTTGATGAGTCAAGGTTCTGTAGGAAACTGATAGGCATACCAAAGTTAAGATAGTTAATTTGAAGTGGGTATAAATAGACCTGTTTTTTCAAAGGTAGGATGGAAGGAGGAATGTCTACTACAGTTTGACTTCAGAAATTTTTGGAGAAGGGCAGTGGTTGGCTACTAGGTAGATACACTCATACATAGTTAGATTTCTGGGCAAAGAGATTCCCCCAGCATTCTAGTAGCCACCTGGAATAATGAATGTTCTCTTGGGTTTTCATGCCCTCTTGACTGGCCCATGCATCATGGTATCTGTGGAGCATGAAGGAGGAAGAACTATACTCTAGCTCAGTGGTTGCCAACCGGTGGTCCGTGGACTGCTGGTGGTCTGTGAGGTCCAAAAGGTTGGCGACCACTGCTCTAGCTCTTGCTGATTCAGTATCCAAACCAGTTGTCCTACCCATTGCTTCTTGCTTCCTTTCTCTGTAGCTTCCAAGCTTGGATCCCTTAGAAGCTGCTTCCATTCTTTACTGTAGTTCTTTCCTATTCTATATTTTTTGCAAGTGTTGGGGAGTGGTTAGAACTTTCTTCTTCAGTCTGATCCCTTTTGTTATCAGCAATTCCTTCTAATTTGTGGTCTATTGAGAGGACCTTCTTATTTCCAGTGACAATATGGTTTAAATTTTAAAAAATGCATGTATGCATGTGTGTGAGCACATGTACACACACACACATACATAAAATGTTATAAAGCTGTTGGGAGGGTAGCGGGATCATTGACTGAGTTTGTTATCTTAATCCAGTATGTAGGAAAGCATTTTGTATTATCTTGATTTTTCCCCCTCTAGAATACAAGATTGTCTCAGTCAAAAGACTGAGGACACAGAGAAAAAAGATGACTCCCGCAAAGATAACCAGCAGCAGGCCCTAATCGACCAGAGATGCTTTCAGGTATGGAATAGCTGGCAAAGGGACTAGTGTTTGTAGTCAACCTTGGTTTTAATTGCAATGTCATAAATTATCAGTTGGTAAGGAATATTTGTATCCTGTATTTGTTGTGCTTATCCTGTCATGTCTTGCCATGACATACCTGTTTGGCTAAAAACATTATAGTTAGCTTGACTTAGAAATTGTTTTTACCCTTAAAAGAGACGTTGGCCTAGTTCAAAGCAGGGTAGTAAAAAGCTGGTAAGATTTTAGAAAGATTTTATCCTTTGCTCTCCATCCTTAAGCCATCTCCCTTTTTATTGTTTTTGGTATTATTATTATTACTAGAGGCCTGGTGCACAAAAATTTTTGCACTTGGGGGGGGTCCCTCAGCCCGGCCTATGCCCTCTTGCAGTCTGGGACCCCTCGGGGGGGATGTCCACCTGCTGGCTTAGATATCCATCTGGCAGCCCGGGAGCCCTCAGGGGATGTCCACTTGCCAGCAGGGAGCAGACCTAAGCTGCAGTCAGACAGCCTTAGTGCTGCTGAGGAGGTGGGAGAGGCTCCCACCACCACCGCTGTACTGGCAGCCGTCAGCCTGGCTTGTGCCTGAGCATTGAGCGTCTGCCCTTTGGTGGTCAGTGTGTGTCATAGTGACCAGTCATTCCCAGTCTTTCTGCTTTTTGGGTCAATTTGCATATTACCCTTTTATTATATAGAATAGAGGCCTGGTGCACAGGTGGGGGCCGGCTGGTTTGCCCTGAAGGGTGTCCTGGATCAGGGTGGGGGTCCGCTGGGGTGCCTGGCCAGCCTGGGTGAGGGGCTGATGGGTGTTTGCAGGCTGGTCACACCCCCTTCAGGGTGGGGGTCCCTACTGGGGTGCCTGGCCAGCCTGGGTGAGGGGCTGATGGCTGTTTGCAGGCAGGTCAAGCCTCCCAGTGGGGACCCTCACCTCATGGGGGTTTGGCCAGCCTGGGTGAGGGGCTGATGGCTGTTTGCAGGCAGGTCAAGCCCCCCAGTGGGGACCCTCACCCCATGGGGGTTTGGCCAGCCTGGGTGAGGGGCTGAGGGCTGTTTTCAGGCTGGCCACAGCCCCTTCAGGGTGGGGGGCTCTACTGGGGTGCCTGGCTAGTCTGGGTGAGGAGCTGATGGCTGTTTTCAGGCTGGCCAAGCCCCCAGGTGACTGAAGCTCCCAGCCTCTCCTTTTTTTCTTTTTTTCTTATTCTGGGGTTTATTTATCTTCTATAATTGAAACTTTGTAGCCTTGAGTGGAGCCCAGATCTGGACAGGGCAGGTAGGAAGCTTGGCTTCCTCCATCGCCGGGGGCAACCCAAGCCTCCTGCTCGCTCAGCTCTGTGGCCACGGCGGCTGGAAGCAGGTATCTGGGATTTATTTATCTTCTATAATTGAAACTTTGTAGCCTTGAGCGGAGCTCAGGGTCGGCAAGGCAGGCAGGAAGCTTGGCTTCCTCCATTGCCTCCAAGCCTCCTGCTTGCTCCAGCTCCATGGCCACCGCCATCTTAGTTGGGTTAATTTGCATATTTGCTCCTGATTGGCTGGTGGGGTGTCGCTGGTGGGCGTGGCTTGTGGGTGTAGTGGAGGTACGGTCAATTTGCATGTTTCTCTTTTATTAGATTAGATTACTATTGTTATTATATAAGTAAATTTTCTTAAGGTCTTTGTATGGTTCTTTTTTATATATATTGATTTTTTTACAGAGAGGAAGGGAGAGGGATAGAGAGTTAGAAACATCGATGAGAGAGAAATATCGATAAGCTGCGTTCTGCACGCCCCCTACTAGAGATGTGCCCGCAAACAAGGTCATGCCCTTGAACAGAATCGAACCTGGGACCCTTCAGTCCGCAGGCCAATGCTCTATCCACTGAGCCAAACCAGTTAGGGCTGTATGGATCTTTTTTTAAATTTAGATATTTAGTTCATCTGAAATTTAATGTTCTATGCGGTGTGATATAGAGATCTTACCTTATTGATTTTATAGAATAGGTAGATGAGCATTTATTGACTAGATGTGTAGTAAAGCCTGATTATTTACTGACTTAACTGGGCCTGCATTTTTATTTTATTGGACCTACACAGGGTTTTAAAATTTTTTAAATTGCCCTAACCGGTTTGGCTCAGTGGATAGAGTGTCGGCCTGCGGACTGAAAGGTCCCAGGTTCGATTCCGGTCAAGGGCATGTACCTTGGTTGCGGGCACATCCCCAGTTTGGGATGTGCAGGAGGCAGCTGATCGATGTTTCTCTCTCATTGATGTTTCTAACTCTCTATCCCTCTCCCTTCCTCTCTGTAAAAAAATCAATAAAATATTTTTTAAAAAAATTTAAAATTAATTACTGATATTTCTTAAATTAAGGGATTTTGCTTATTAACTTCTTATTTGTAGCTTCTCTTAAAAAGTGAGTCTGGCAGCCTGGCTAGTGTGGCTCATTTGGTTGGAGCATCGTCCTAGGTATCAAAGAGTCATGGGTTCGATTCCGGTCAGGGCATGTACCAAGGTTGTGGGTTTGAATCTTGGTCATGGTACATATGGAGGCAACTGAGCAATGTCGCTATGTCTGCCTCTGTCGGTCGGTCTCTCTTTCTCCCTTACTCCCCTCCTTCCCTCTCCTATGAACTTCGGAAGCTCAGCTAGCATCAGTTCCCTGGTCTCTTTTAGGAGTGCCATTGCCCTCCTTACTTTTGGTCTGAGGCAGAAGGAGAAGGACTATGTGGATTCTAATAGGTCATAACTACTTTCAAGTCTACATCATTTAAAAAGACATTTTAGTTTTATGTGTGAAGTCTATGGTTCTCATTAGAACTTATGTTTAATCATGTTGATGAAACTATTGTACTTCCAAAACATTACAAGCGTCAGTCTTATTAAAGATCTTGCTCTCATTGATAATTTAGTGGAGGGAATACTTTCCCATTAAAATTGTATTAAAATAATTTAAATATAATAGAAGTGACATACTGAAATGCACTAAAATAAGCAATAAACCAAACTGCTTGTAGATAAGCATCAGAAGCCAAATTCTCAAGGGACCTGTAGCTTTTATGGGGAGAAAAAAATAGCACAGCATTTTTCACTCACTAGTTCTGTCACTCCTTTAAAATACATTAATCTTGGTAAATCCTGTCCAATGAATTGCTAACATTTTCTTAAATAGTCTGGTCACTATCCAGGATCAGTTTGATCACCTTTTAGCAAGACCTGCATGATGTTTTTTAGGATTTCTCTTTAGAATGTGTTGGGCTTTGTAATTCATTGTCTTTACTCGGAACTTCAGCTGAAGCTGTGAAACATCAGGAACTGCTCCCATTTAATATCCAAATTAGCTTAAATATGAGAAGATAGGAATAGGGAAATGTGGAACTCTAGCTAAGGATATCTGGATGACGATTCTTCTCTATGTGGATTAAAATAGGTCATAACTACATAACTACTTTCAAGTCTACATCAGTTAAAAATACCTTTTAGTTTTTTTGTGAAATCTGTGGTTCTTATTAGAACATATATTTAATCATATTGATGAAACTATTGTACTTTCGAATATTACAAGTGTCGGTCTTATTAAAGACCTTCTTAATGACTGCCTCAAATTAAATTTGAAAATGATGTTACATTGACATATAAAGCACTCCTTTTACTTATGTCACTTTTAGAGGACTATGGTAAACGTTTCAACTAAAAACAGCCTTTTTTTTTTAAAGGTACTGAGTAGCATCAATTCAATTATTCACAATCCAAGAGCTCCAGTAATACTTTATAAACAGAGCAAAGGAGGAGTCCAGCATTTTAATAAAGACTTTGATCAAGATTGTGGATTTGAGCATCTTGTTCCTATCCTAGAAATGTGGGCAGATCAACTGACTTCCCTAAAGGTAAGGGGTTGAATAGTCTTTAAATGCTTAGAAAATCTATTGGAGTTGTGGACTTTATTAATAGGCTAGGCGTAATTTGTTTTGTTTGATTGTAAAGCTGAAACAGCTTATCTTATTAAATGTTAATCTTGCTACTTACATATCCGTTTGAAGTACTGCCTGCTTGATGTTGTCATTACTATAAGCTGCTTCCTATAAGGTTCTACCAAACAAGACATTTTTTAGGCTCATTGCCTTGTTGGAAATCTGTATTAGATCCACTTTGACTTCTAGGTGCTTCCCTATTCTACCTTCATCTCCCTCTTTTTGGTATCCCCATGGTACAGATTTTCCTGGACCTTATTCCTCTTTAAATGTAATGTCTTATCCTTCATTCCATTTTAATTGGGAATGTTTCTTTTCTCTTCATATTTAAAATTATTATATTTTCTTTTAAAGTTTATCTCCATGTCTGTCTATTCTGTGGATCAGATTTTGGTCAGATAGCTAGCCAATACTGCTATTACTTATTCTTTTTATCCATGAAAGATGAAATTTTCTTCACTTTAGAGAGTTGTATATTTTTTTATTAACTTCAGGTTTTTCCAGTTTTTGTTGAGTAGCTCACTGAAAGGTGAATTGCTAAAGTCATAGTATTTAATTTCTGTACCCTTTAAATTTTTATTTTTTTAATTATATCTACACTAATAAAAGAGAAACATGGTAATTAGCGTACAACCACTACCTTTCCCATTGGCTAATCAGCATATCCTTATGCAAATTAATTGTCAGCCAAGATGGCGGCCGGCAGCCGTGCACTGAAGCGAACAGGGAGGCTTGCTTGCTCCAGTGACGGCTGACTCTAACGTTCCCCGCCTGAGTTGCAGGCCTCTAAGCTGCAACTCTAAGCAACTATGTACTATGTTGCAAATAAGAAGCTAAACAAAACCCCAGAAACCGGCTTTCAGTCAGCCAGGTTCAGCCAGCCGGACCGCAACATTGTATCAAATACAGAAGGAAAAACAAAGGCCAGAAACCGGCTTTCAGCAGCCGAGGCCTCAGAGCTAAAGCTGGCCCAGAATAAAAAGAAAAAAAGGAGCTGTTGGGAGCTTTGGTCACCCGCCAGCCAGAAAACGGCCCTCAGCCCCTCACCCAGACTGGCCAGGCACCCCAGTGGGGATCCCCACCCTGATCCAGGACACCCTTCAGGGCAAACCAGCCGGCCCCCACCTGTGCACCAGGCCTCTATTCTATATAGTAAAAGGGTAATATGCCTCCCGGCACCGGGATGAGCGTGACAGGGGGCAGCGCCCAACCCCCCTGATCGCCCTGCCGCTCTGTGTGTGACAGGGGGCGGGGCCACAACCTCCCTATCCGCCCTGCTGTGTTCGTGACAGGGGAAGGCGCCCCAACCCCCTGATCAGCCCTGCTCTGTGCCTGATAGGGGGGAGCTCCCCAATCCCCTGATCGCCCTGCGGCTCTGTGTGTGACAGCGGGGAGCTCCCCAACCCCCTGATCGCCCTGCGGCTCTGTGTTTGACAGGGTGCGGCGCCCCAACCCCCTGATCAGCCCTGCTCTGTGTGTGACAGGGTAGAGCCATAACCTCTCCATCGGCCCTGCCCTGAGTGTGACAGTGGCAGCGCCCCCAACCCCCTGATTGGTCCTGCTCTGTGGGTGATAGAGGGTGGTGCCCCCAACCCCCCCTCCACGGGCCTTGCTCTGTGTGTGACAGGGTAGAGCCATAACCTCCCCATTGGCCCTGCCCTGAGTGTGACAGGGTGCAGCGCCCCAAGCCCCTTATCGGCCCTGCTCTGTGAGTGACAGGGGGCAGCGCCCCAACCCCCTGATCAGCCCTGCTCTGTGTGTGACAGGGGGTGGCGCCGCAACCTCCCCATCGACCCTGCCTTGAGTGTGACGGGCGGTGGCCCAGCCCCCCAATCGGCCCTACCCTGAGTGTGACTGAGGGTGGCATCGCAACCTCCCGATCCGCCCTGCTCTGTGCATGACGGGGCGGCGCCCCAACTCCCCAATCGGCCCTGCTCTGAGTCCCACCAGGGGCTGCACCTAGGGATTGGGCCTGCCCTCTGCCACCCGGGAGCAGGCCTAAGCCAGCAGGTCGTTATCTCCCGAGGGGTTCCAGACTGCGAGAGGGCACAGGCCAGGCTGGGGGACCCCCCTCCCCTCCCGAGTGCACAAATTTTTGTGCACCGGGCCTCTAGTAGATATATATTTTAATATATTTTTTTATTAATTTCAGAGAGGAAGGGAGAGGGAGAGAGAGATAGAAACATCAAGGAGAGAATCATTGATTGGCCGCCTCCCGCACACCCCCCACTGGCGATTGAGCCTGCAACCAAAGTATGTGCCCTTAACTGGAATTGAACCTGGGACCCTTCAGTACACGGGCCAGTGCTCTATCCACTGAGCCAAACCAGTTAGGGCTGTACCCTTTAAATTTTAGATTTTTCAGTAACTAATATATATATATAGCATTTCTCTGTTCATGAAGGTGTGATTCAGTAATAGTATTTGTCAGTAGAAGTCTTATCACAGGAAGTATAAAGGGTGCAAAAGATACGAGTAAGAATGTATAAGCCCCAGGGGTTTTGTCTTTGTCCTCTGACGTGTTCCAAGGAATCTCCTGATATATAATAAATGCTCAATATTTGTCAAAAGAATAAAGCAGAATAACACATTCCAAGGCAACAAAATAGAGAATATAGTACTGAATTTTAAAAGTTTTTAATGAAAACATACCTGTAACTGATGAAAGAATCTTCACATTTCACCCTAATTTTTTCTTCCCATTTTAACTAGGGCTCAGAGCTATAAAATAAAATAAGGAAAATTTTAATTGAGTGACAGTGTTGGATTAATATACCTATTTTATAGGCTTGAGTTCCTCCAGTTTATATCTTAGAAGAGAGTGAAATAATTAGTGATTACTTATGTAAATCATGGCATTTTCCAAATTATTGCTTGTCAGGGGATTCTCCCAGTAGGAGAGATTAGTGCAGACTTCAATTTACTCCTTCTCAGGGCAGATGGCCAGCCTTCCCAAGACAAGGGAAAGATTAGAAGAGAAAGGAGGCAAAGGAAGAATCAAAGAAACGGATAGTTACTGGTTATTTACTGTGTTCATTGTGGGAGGTATCAGAAAATGTGAACACAGGTTCAGATTAATTGGAGAGAGAAAACATGCTAAAATATATGAAATAAAATTTACCATAGGAAGAAATGAAAACAGATAGGCCATGAAGTGCCAAGTGGATGATGCAAATAATTTGTACTCCAAATTCTGGAGGAGGAAGGAGCCCCCAGGAAAAGCTTTACAGTGGTGGTGAGTTCTTGCTACTGTATATTTTTCCCACTAGAAAGAGACAAGGAGAATTAGTTTTATAATTAGAATATCCTGAGGGCCCCCAACAGGAATTTAGTGACCTTGCCACTGAAGTAACTCAGAGATATGGGGCCGTGTGTCAGGTATTTACCTTATACTGCAGAATCGGGATCCAAATTGAGGAAGTACGTGAGGTTCTTTGAGGTCTCCTTATATGAAAGGTTTTCTATACTGTAGCAGCCTCTCAGTTTGGAACAGCCATTTTCCCAACTTAGTTTATTTCTCAAGTTAGATTTGGTGTAAAAGCGAAGGATGGAAAAAGCGTGGAGCTAGCTAGCTAGCTGTCTCCTTCCTTCTCTTTCCCACCATCCACATTTTCCGGAAAGTTGAGCTACAGACTCTGTAGCTTTCCCAGCCCAATGCTGTGCTGTGTTGTAGCTTTCCCATCCCCTAGTGCTCCAGAGGCCGGCCAGCCAAAGTCAGTCATGACCTGTACTTCTACATCCCTTAGCTGAGCAATGTGGAGAATCTAGAAGACCCTCTTTTAGGTTTTTCAGGGCTTGCTTGATGGACCCCTACAGCCATCCTGCACTGCTAAGTACATCAGACATCTCCCCCCCCCCCCCCTTAATCTTGCTAAGACTTTTATTCTCAAGCAAAATTTTATAATTGGTGTGGTTTGTACCATAGGCCATTTGTTTATGACTGCATCTTGTTGATGGAACGTTGGTTAATGAAAGTTTCATTATGCTGCAACTTTTGGACTTTTTAAAATATTCTGGTGTCACCTAATGTTTAAAACATTCATTTGACATTGAATGTATTGCTTTGAATTGCTAAAATAGGTGATTACCTTCTTACCAAATGAAAGGTTAAAGATATCATTATGTGTGTTAATTGGAAAGTGTTAAATAAGTGGTGGACTAAAAGAGTTGGAAAAGGAATTTCCTATATACCTGGTACTTCTTTCTGTATTCTGAAATTGCACTAACACAGTAACCACCTGCCACATGCAGCTTTGATCATTGAAATGTGGCTGGTTCCAATTGAGATGTGCTATCAGTATAAAATACACCGTTTAGAAGACTTAGTGTGGAAAAAAAAATATTAAATGGTAATAGTTCAGATATATTGGGTTAAATAAAATAAATCATTAATGTCACGTGTTTCTCTTTTTAAAGTGTGGCTACTAGACAATTTAAAATTACTATGACTCACATTTCTTTTGGACAGCATTGTTCTAAAGGGCCAAGTACTGTGCCGTGCACGTATGGATGTTCAGTAAATATTTGTTTAGCAGTTGACCAGTCTTAAAGTTCTAAACTTTCAGTAGCCTTGCCCCTATACAGTTTAAAATAGATTAGGGCAAAAAAATAAAAAATAAAAAAATAAAAATAAAATAGATTAGGGCAATGTGTCTAGACCAGGAAAACTAAGTAGGCCATCATCAAGATTAAATATAATTAATTTAGTCATCCTTTCAAATTAAAACCTGCTTGGAGATATATGCATAATATGGGTGAAGCGGGAAATATTATCCTAAATAAAAAAGGCCAGTCACAAAAGGCCATTTATTATATGATTCCATTTTATGTGAAATGCCCAGAATAGTCAAATCCATAGAAAAAGAAAGCAGATTAGTAGTTACCCAGGGCCTAGGGTCAGGACAGAATGGGGAATGACTTCAAGTAGGTGCAGGTTTATTTTTGTGCTGATAATAATGCTCGGAAATTAAATAATGGCTTCATATCTCTGTAAATATATTAAAATACTCAATTGTACACTTAAAGAGGGTGAATTTTATGTTGTGTAAATTACATCTTAAGTTTGTTATGAAAAATTCAAGGCAAAAATATAAAGAACAGGCTTATTTTTTATCCATCAATAATCAAACCAATTACTTAAATTACATAAGCTAATAATAAAATAATATATAATTGCTTAAAACATCCAGTTCAAAGACAATTAATATAGAATGTTTTATGTAAGGCCTATATTTACCTGGAAAAAAACTATTTTAATAGGCTTTCCTAAACTGGTAATGGTATTTAAAAAAAAATACTGATAATAATTAATGTACTTAGTAAATCCTAACATAAATCCTGATTTAAAAATATATATATATTTTATTAGAGGGATAGAGAGCCAGAAACATCAATGAGAGAGACACATCGATCAGCTGCCTCCTGCACACTCCCTACTGGGGATGTGCCCGCAACCAAGGTACATGCCCTTGACCGGAATCGAACCTGGGACCCTTGAGCCCGCAGGCCAACGCTCTATCCACTGAGCCAAACTGGTTAGGACTAAATCCTGATTTTTAAAAAGACATTGAAACATAATTATATTTTATTAGTATTTTTATGGAAACTTATTTTTAAACCAATAAAATCTTGTTATTTCTTTTGTTATAAAGGATTTGTATAAGTCCTTGAAAACACTATCTGCAGAATTGGTGCCTTGGCATAATTTAAAGAAGCAGGATGAAAAGGAAGGTATCAGAGTTGAAGATCTGTTGTTTATAGTAGATACCATGTTGGAAGAAGTTGAAAATAAGGAAAAGGTAATACTTAATACTTACGAAAATGTTTATATTTTAACTAGAGGCCCATTGCACAAATTTTGTGCACTGGGCCGGGGAGGGGGGGAGAGGGAGGGTCCCTCAGCCTGGCCTGCGCCCTCTTGCAGTCCGGGAGCGGGCCTAAGCCAGCAGTTGGACATCCTTAGTGCTGCTGAGAGGTGGGAAAGGCTCCTGCCACCACCACTGCACTTGCCAGCCTTGAGCCCGGCCAGGGCAGTCCTGTGTTGAGCGTTTGCCCCCTGGTGGTCAGTGTGTGTAATAGTGACTGGTCATTGCACAGTTTGGTCAATTTGCATTATTAGCCTTTTATTATATAGGATTATATAGGATGTAATCTTAAAATTGGTAACAATATGGATATTGATAGTCTACTAGGACTTTATTTCTCTTTTTAAAGTTTTTATTATTTTTTTAAAGATTTGGAATTATTTTTAACATGTGAACTTCCTTTTTCTCCCTCTTTTGGACAGGACAGGAACATGCCAAACTTTAAAACTTTGCAAGCTATTGTTTCTCATTTCCAAAAATTATTTGATGTGCCTTCTTTAACTGGAGTCTATCCCCGAATGAATGAAGTTTATACTAGGCTTGGAGAACTGAACAGTGCTGTGAGAAACCTCCAAGAACTCTTAGAATTAGGTGATGACCCTTAGTCATTTTGGGCCCCCATTTAAGAATTATTCCTAATAAATCAACAAAAAGTAGGTAAAACATTTTTTAAAAATTCACGATAAGTGTAGGATAACTAAGGATAATTGGTTTGATAATGATTTTGAGAATTCTCTTTTAAAAATACCTTATTCTTTTATTTTATTTTATTGTTTAAAGTATTACAAATAATAGTACATGTGTCTCCTTTTTCTCCATTGACCTTCCCCCTCTCCCCCTGGCACATGCCCTCCCCCTCCTTCCCCCAGTGTCTTGTGTCCATTGGCTATGCTTATATGCATGCATGCAAGTCCTTCAGTTTATCTCTTATCCCCCCCCCAAACCCTCCCCTGCCTTCCCGCTGTAGTTTAACAGTCTGTTTGATGCTTCTTTGCCTCTGTATCTATTTTTGTTCACCAGTTTATAATGTTCTTTATATTCCACAAATGAGTGAGATCATGTGGTATTTATCTTTCACTGACTGGCTTATTTTGCTTAGCATAATGCTCTCCAGTTCCATCCATGCTGTTGAAAATAGTAAGAATTCCTTCTTTTTTACAGCAGCGTAGTATTCCATTGTGTAGATGTACCACAGTTTTCTAATTCAGTCATCTGCTGATGGGCATTTAGGCTGTTTCCAAATCTTAGCTTAAAATACCTTATTCTTTTATTTTATTTTTTTGCAGATAGTTCATCCTCATTGTGTGTGCTGGTAAGCACAGTTGGAAAATTGTGTAGGCTGATTAATGAGGATATGAATGAACAGGTTATGCAGGTATTGGGACCTGAGGACCTCCAAAGGTATTTGTTTTAAAAAGCTTGCAAAATATCATTCAGAATCGTTAGAGTGGTGAAATTAAAGACTCTCACAACTTTTTAAGTTCTTTACCTTTCCTGTTTGGAATAGCATCCTTTAAATAACTTGACAATCTAAAATAATCTCACACCTTAGGGATGGAGAGAATGCCAAGTGTTTTCAAGATAAAAATAGATTGTAGAGCCTGTACCAGTGATGGTGAACCTTTTGAGCTCAGCGTGTCAGCATTTTGAAAAACCCTAACTTAACTCTGGTGCTGTGTCACATATAGAAATTTTTTGATCTTTGCAACCATAGTAAAACAAAGATGTATATTTTTGATATTTATTTTATATGTTTAAATGCCATTTAACAAAGAAAAATCAACCAAAAAAATGAGTTCGCGTGTCACCTCTGACACGCATGTCATAGGTTCACCATCACTGGCCTATAGGCTTACATAAGGTGTATATGTTTATATAATCTAGCGTTATTGCTATAAGCCTGTTCCCAGGGGACATTACATGTGGAGAAATTCAAACCTTGTTAGCAATTTCATGTGAGTTTAGAATGTATAAACAAGTTCTATTTTTAGTACACTACATATTTGATTAGAAGATAAAATGTTAAGGAGTTGTTTTAATTTTATTGATGTTTTACAGAGAGAAAGGGAGAGGGATAGAGAGTTAGAAACATCGATGAGAGAGAAACATCAATTCAGCTGCCTCCTGCACACTCCCTACTGGGGATGTGCCCGCAACCAAGGTATATGCCCTTGACCGGAATCGAACCTGGGACCCTCCAGTCCGCAGGCCGACACTCTATCCACTGAGCCAAACCAGTTAGGGCAAAGCCAATTATTTTTTAATATATTATAGAACATGGTCTCTTAAGAATCCTTGAGCTACATGGTAGGGAAACTTTATATGAATTTACCTAAATTTAACCTTAGAACAGATATTTACACTGATAATAAGATATATATATTTTAGAAAAGTGATGTTTGATGAACGAAGAGCTCAAAAGAAATTATTACAGTAAATTATTAAATTTATATTTAAGTTAGCAGGACAATTTCTGTTTTGAAAATGTTCTATATTCAATCAGATGCAAGAACTTTAAGTTGGAAATTCAGTGTAAACTGCGTGTTTTTTTGTTTTTTTTTGTTTTTTTAAGCATTATCATCAAATTGCAAGAACACGAGGAATTTTTTCCAGCGTTTCAGGCATTCACTAATGATCTACTTGAAATCTTAGGTAAGATCTCTGTTCATGGTGTTTAAATTTCAAGTCTGAAGATGTCAGTGGGTTTGAGCGAAGACCGTTCTCCTTAAGTCACTGAATTAGTGTTTTCACCTAGAGTGTTTGGTAGAAAGTGTCTGGAAACCATGGGTAGTTCTGCAAAACACTCTTAACTTGCAGTTAGAGGTGTTTGGGATTAGTCTACAGAACAGAGAAGCACATATCCTTTAAGGAGTAAGGGGCTGCCTTTGTCCTGGGACCTTAAGATGAGAAGTGACAATTTGCTCTGGCTAGGCCCTGACGCTGTGATAGAATTTATGACCTTGGGTAGTGTTTTTTCTCTTCCTCCTCCTCCTCTTGCTCCTTTTAAAAGATAGTACTTATCTACTGTGTTTTTTAAATATACAAATGATTCCTGGCCGGTGTGGCTCAGTTGGGTGGAGCATTGTCCCATCCACCAAAAGGTGGTAGGTTTGATTTCTTGTCAGGGCACATACTCAGGTTGTGGGTTTGATCCCCAGTATTGAATAATATTTTACTTGCTTCTGCATAGTTAACTTAAATAGCGAAGTTCTCATTATTAATAAATATTTTAATGGATGTACTGATAACACTTATTTTAGAATCCTTCTATACAAACTTCCTCTCAGATGTTATCAGCATGGTTCATGTGAGATCATTTGCTTCAAGAAGCCAAGTCTCCCTGCAGGTGAACTCTGCATTTTAGTCACAGTTGGAATTCTGGAGTTAAATATATATAACATTGGGAAAGTTAAATCTGTTTTGGCAAGCATGACTTTTTTTTATTACTAGATGTTATATTAAGCATCTAGTCCTACAGAGTGATGTACTGAATATCAGATATGGAGAAGGACTTTCTTCCTTTCATATAATCTGAGAAAATTTTCATATCAGCCAAGATTCTTCTCTGTGAGGTTCATTTATCAGGTAGATTTCCAATTTAGTGAGAAAATATGTGCGATTTCAGAATGGGGTTAGATAATAGCATGCTCTTATACCTTACCAGGATTTAATGTGTAAACCAAATTCTATGTTGCAAATTTGCTTATATTTTTTCCTTTCTTATATCTCGATGCTTTGTAAGTGGATCCAGAAAAGTATTCTGACTGAAGTCAGAAGCTTAAGCAACATGGGTCATGTGTTTAGGCAAAAGGAAGAACAACCCAAATCCAGCTAAACATTGAGGGAGAAAGGTGGATACTAAGGAAGCATGTTTTATGTAAGGTTTATGAACAGTGGCCTAGCAGAATAATCTAGAAAAACTGGTGAGAATCTAGAGAACCTACCACTGGGGCTTACTTTAAGTAGGGTTGGAGTTTATTTTTTTTATTTTTTTGTTGTTAATTCTCAGTTGAGGATATTTTTCCATTGACTTTTATAGAGTGCAAGGGAGAGGGAGAGACAGAGAAACAGCGATGTGAGAGAGAGACATCAATTGGTTGCTGCCTGCATATACCTCAATCAGGGAACCTGTAACCAAGGTACGTGCCCTGGACTGAATCGAACCTTGGACCCTTCAGTTCACAGGCTGACACTCTACCCACTGAGCCAAACCGGGTAGGGCATGGAGTTTAGATAATCAGAGAAAGGACTGTGCTTCCTCAGTAGCCAGGAGCTTTCAGACAGAGTCTGATTTAGGCTGATTGGGAAAAGATCGTTTTAGGAAGAAAAATCAGATTCAGAAAGAAGCTGGTGGAGAAAAACCTGAACTGATTTATCTGGGAAGCTGGAGCAGGCTAACCTCTATAATACATTGCATCTGATATTTGTACTTTGGGAAGCTTCACATCTTTTATTAGATAGATAGGTTTCATCCTAAAAAGTATACTTAAGAGTGATCCTAATGAGAAATTTTTCCAAAAGAATTAAGGATAGGACTATGTTTCATGCAAAGAAATCCTTAGGGACCCAGGAGAGAGATGGCCTCTACCTGGGATTTCACCATGTAGGCTCACTCACGTAATTATAGACTTAAAGAGGCAGTAACATAATATCATAAATGTGGCCAGAACAATCTATTAATAAAAGCATACTGCTAATGAATTTAATTTTAAAGTCAGTGAATGCTTGTCGGTATGTGGTAGCTTTTACAAACAAGATGCTCTGTGAAGCATCTGTGTCTGAATTATTGATAACTCTATCACTATTGGAGAAAAATGTCATGTACATGAAAGCACCAGTGTTGTTGCTTTTGTGTTTGAGGTTTGCTTTTGCATAGAAATTCTCATTTCATCTGAGCCTTTCACTAGACAGTGCTACTCTTTTATTATTACTGTGTGTTTTTTATTACAGAAATTGATAACTTGGATGCCATTGTACCTGCAGTAAAGAAATTAAAAGTACTTTCATACTGAAAACAAATCATTTTTACTGTGTAAATTGCATTCTTAACATTCTAATTATTTTGTACAATTGATCTTACCTTTGAGACAAGAGTTATAAAAAGTGTTTACTTTCAGAATTCATCCCCTTCTTTGTATTGGGTTCTCACTCATTTTTTTTTAACTTTGAGATTCTTATGTAGAAAACAGTTAGGTTAAAGTAGTTAACTTTAGACCCTTTAATCATTTCTTAAGCAATTCTTGAGTGCTTAAAATTTAAGATTGATTTAAAGTATAGTGTGTAAGGACAAGAGAAACTCAGGGAGAGATTGAAAATAATAGAAAGGTCACATTTAAGTTCAGGATTTAGTGACCTTTCTGGTTCTGGGAACAAGGAATGCCAATGGCTTTCTTAAGTCCAGTAGGAAGATATTGCTTTCCTGGCAAGAAAATGGCACCTTCTATTAGGATATCCCACATGGCACTTATCCTTTCAAAGCAAGAGTAAGAAAAGGAAGGAGGAGGAAATGTGTTAGGGTAGGAAATGAATTACGAGGTAACATAGATGAGTAGATAAAAGTTTCTCATAAAAAAGTGTCTTTTTTTTTGCAATCTTGATGTAATGTACTTTTTATAAGGGCATGAGATCTTAAATAAAATTTTTATGAAGAATTTTCAAACATAAGCGTCCTCAGTGACTTATTTGTATCACTCACGAATAATGAGTCATATTCTCTTACTAGGCTGAGCCTTCCTTGGGCAGCAGGTTCACCCTTGGCTGTCATCTACTTATTCTTTATTTTCAATATTCAAGTCTTTATTTTCTTAAAGGACTAGTGTTCTGCCTCACATCTATGAGTATAAGCCACTTTGAGTTATTGCTGCTTCTCCCCTACCACAGCCTTGTATCCCCTCCCCCCTCACTTTCATAAGTAGTAGGCCTAGGAAGAGTTCTTAGTTATTCTTGTTTGTGGTTGTGTAGAATATTATAAAGAATTTCCAGGAAGCAGCAGGCTGGAGTGGAGAGAGTAATGTCAGTAGATAAGCATCCAGGTCCTTGGTATTGTGACCTTAGGGATTAGACATAGTTCTTTCTAGATTTAAAATTGTTTTGTTAGCCTGCAATTACATTCCCAAACACTAGCCCACAATTTGTGAAAGAATCTCTATCTGAGGGTTGGATAGAAAAAATATTTGGGACCTGGCCAGTGTAGCTCACTTGGTTGGAGTGTTATCCTGTACCACTGGTTTAAAACAAAGGTTTTTCAGACTCTTCTTCAGAGGCCTAGGAGTTTTTTGGAGGGCTGGGAGGGACAATGCCACTAGTAAAAATGTTAAGTCCTCTTTATCAGATAATTAGTTAAAATATAAGTAAAGTTCTGCAAATATTTACCTCTTGATTTTCTTACAATTTTATTGATGTATAATTGACCTATGAATTATACATATTTAAAGTATATAGTTTGATAAGTCCTTATACACATGTGAAACCATCACCACATTCAAAATAATAAACATACCATCACTCCAAAATTTATTTCTTTGCCCTGGAAACAAATAATCTGCTTTTAGTCATTATAGTTTGCATTTGATAGGATTTTATGTAAATGGAGTCATACAATGTGTTCTCTTCTTTCTTTTTCTTTTTTATAAGGGAAAAGATTTTTTTAAAATATATTTTATTGATTTTTTTACAGAGAGGAAGGGAGAGGAATAGAGGGTTAGAAACATCGATGAGAGAGAAACATCGATCAGCTGCCTCCTGCACACTCCCTAGTGGGTATATGCCTGCAACCAAGGTACATGCCTTTGACTGGAATCAAACCTGGGCCCCTTGAGTCTGCAGCTCTATCCACTGAGCCAAACCGGTTAGGGCTGTGTTCTCTTCTTTTGTATTCTCACTTGAAATAATTATTTTGAGATTTTTGCATGTTGTTGCATTTATTAAGTTTGTTCCTTTTTATTGCTGTGCAGTATTTCATTGTCTGAATAGACCATAATTTGTCCACTCATTTATTGTTGGAAATCTGGGTTATTTCCAGTTTTTTACTATTTCTACAAATAAAACTCCTATGAATATTCATGTTCAGGTCTTTTTGTGGACACATACCTGATATTCAGTGTCTTGAAAACTATTGTTTTCATGTATTTTGTCTTTTTGTTGTTTATTTTGATTTTGGTTGGGATAGGTGGAAGGGTAAATTTGGTTTCTGTCAGTCCATCCTGGTTAAAAGTGGAAGTTTAGAAGAAAATAATTCAGGGTTGTCTCTTTATTTTTTCTAATTTTATTGCATTGTAGTCAGAGAACATGGTCTTTTGGATATTAAGTATTTGGAAATTTATTGACTATGTGATAAATTATATACCTGTTCTACATGTGCTTTAAAAAAGTCTAATTTCATATACACACACATATATAGCTACTATGTTGTTTAAATCTACTTTTTGTCTGCTTGACTTGTTAGTTTATGGGCGATACTGAAATCTCTGAATTTTTCAAATTTTGTTTTATATATTTTGAATCCATTTTATAAGTATTTACAAATTCATAGTTGATAATATCCTCTTGATTAATATCTCTATTTATTGCTCCTAATGCATTTTGCCTTGAATGCAATCTTGTCCTTTTAATTAATAGTTGCTGGATATTCTTTTTCATTTATTTCACTAATCTTTTATTTATTGTAAAATATATGTTAAAAAATGCTAAAAACCATAAATGTCAAGTATAACAAATGATTATAAAGTGAACACCATGCAACAACCAAAAAGTAGAACATCACAAGCACTCCAGAAGGCCTCCCCACCCACCATTAGAGGTAAGGAAGTGTTTATTTTGTAAAAATAGTTTGGTCATTTTTGTGTGTATGCCTAAACCAAGGTAGTTGAATTTTGCCTGGTTTTGAACTTTATAAAAATGGAATCATGTGTGTATTTTTAACATTTCTTATTTTGGTCAGTACTATGTTTTTACTGTACATCCATGTTGTTGTGTAAGTCTAGGCCATTTGTTTTCATTGCTGTCTAGTATTCCTCTATGAATATTCTATAATCCATTCGTTCTACTGGAGATTGATATTTAGGTTGTTTCTAGTTCTTAGCTACTATGAACTGCTGCTATGAAAATTCTTGTACATGGAACTTTGTACACTTGTGTGCAAGTTTTCTAGAATCAATATCCAAGAAGTAAAACTGCTGGATCTTAGGGGAAAACACTTCTATATGTAGCCACAGAGGCTGTGTACTGTACAAATGGAGGTAGTACTATTTCTATAGGTAACAATGTGAATGGAGGCTCTGGGATGATAGTGTGGCTACTTTTAATAGGGACTGTGTATCTGCAGTTTTAGAAGAAAATGCCAAGCTATTTTCCAAAGTTGTTGCACCAGTTTATACTCCCAACATCTGTAAAGGAGTTCCTACTTTTCCATATCCTGACCAATACCAAGTAAATCAGTTTTTAAACTTTTTTTCCAGACTAGTGTATAGAGCTGTTATTTTAATGTTTATTTGTGTTGTTACTAATGAAGGTAAGCATCTTTTTATTTGGTTATTGGCCATTTATATTTCTTTTTTTAAAGTGCATTTATGTATCTTTATTTTTCTGTTGGACTGTCTTTCTATTGGTTTGTAAGAATTATTTGTATATTCTGGATATGAGCGATTTGACAGTTACATGTGTTGCAAATGTTTTCTTCCATTTTGTGTCTTTCCATTTCCCTATAGTTTCTTTTTATGAACTGCAGAATCTAATTTTGATAGTTATAGTTAGTGCTCTTCATGTCTTAGGAAATCTTTCCGTAGTCACAAGTTGTAATGTTATTTTCCTATATTACCTTATAGTTACATAGTTTTGCTTTTCACATTTAGTCTAATATACCCCAAGTTGTTTGACTTGTGTATGTTTTTAAACAATCAAGACTTACTGAGGGTTACCAACATATTTTGCAGATTTCTTTACTCTCTACTGTTTCCCACACACCACTTCTGAATTCTTGCTGAAATACATCTGTTTAATCTGCTTCATATTTGTAAATTATACTTTTTGTAATTTATCCAGTGAGCTTCCCTTTAGGGCAGCGGTTCTCAACCTGTGGGTCGCGACCGCTTTGGGGGTCAAACAACCCTTTCACAGGGGTCGCCTAAGACCATCGGAAAACATATATAATTACATATTGTTTTTGTGATTAATCACTATGCTTTAATTATGTTCAATTTGTAACAATGAAATTGGGGGTCACCACAACATGAGGAACTGTATTAAAGGGTCGCGGCATTAGGAAGGTTGAGAACCACTGCTTTAGGGGAATTATCTGCTGCAGTGGTCCACACGTGCCCTGGATGGGAATGGCAACCCTAAGGGCCAGTTTTGTGGTTGCAACTTACAGGGCTTCACATGGTTCCAGGTTCAAAACCAATTTTCACATAAGTTTCAAGTTTGGGGGATTCCCATACCAAGTCAGTTGTGTTAACTTTAGATCCTGTGAACCCATAAGGGAGATTAGCTGATTGTTTTCACCCATTGCTGACAACCAATTCCTTGTCTTTATTGAAAAGGTCTTTTCTTGATGACACTAAATTTTTCAGGCTCCTTGTCCCTCACATAGTAAGTAGCCTTGTCTCCTGGCTAGTGTATGCTAAAATTCAGGTTGCCTTCAACACTTAAACACCCCTTCAACTCCTATACATTGCTTTAGATTGCCTCTTTAACCTTACCTGTGTTACTTTTTAATCAACCATGTTTAAAATAAATGTTCATGCTTTAACTAGGACAGCGGTTCTCAACCTGTGGGTCGCGACCCCTTTGGTGGTCGAACGACCCTTTCACAGGGGTCGCCTAAGACCATCCTGCATATCAGATATTTACATTACGATTCATAATAGAAGCAACATTACAGTTATGAAGTAGCAACGAAAATAATTTTATGGTTGGGTCACAACATGAGGAACTGTATTTAAAGGGCCTGAAGGTTGAGAACCACTGAACTAGGTTTTCTATGTGTTTGGAAGAGGAAAGATGGGTTTTTAGTTGTCTGCTTTGCCATTTTGATCCGTTGTTTTAGGGTTGCCAGATTTCAGGATATGATATCTGGTAACATTCCCTTTTACTTCACCATTTTCAAGACCTTTGTCTACTTAATGAACATGACAATGCCATTGTGAGGTAGATAGGACAGGCATCAGTCGCCCGATTTTATTATGAGAATTTGTCATTCAAGATAGAAATCTCAGCAGAAATAAATTACACATCTACCATGTATTTAGCATAATCTTGGATGATGGAGGTGAAAATCAATTCAAATAGCTTATATAGTCAAAACTCATTTCTCCAATGTCTCCCAACTCCAACAATTCTGCTCTTGACCAAGTTGCTCACAGAAACCAAACTTCGGTTTTCAACCTGACAACCCTTTCATGCTGATATCTCAGCATGCTGATATCTCAGCATGCTGATATCTCAGCATGAAAGGCTCAGGCAACAAAGAGATAATGCTTTTGTTGCTGGGGAAGTCATTGATTAGCACAATTTTAAGACATAAAGGAGGCCAAGAGGTAGAAAAACGGTTGATTTGGATAAACAAAAAGCAGTCAGTGACAGCCATTTCGGAGGCAGTGATAAATGAACAAATAAAGATGCTGCATGCTGACCTGAAAGTGATTCATTTAAGGCTAGTAGGGGGTGGTTTGATAAATTTAAGAAAATAAGTGCTTGTTTATAGATTAAAAAGTACATTAGACATGTACTGTATATAAGAAAGATTTAAGCAGTGAATCATTTGGGGGTCTGGAATGGATTAATTGAATTTACATTATTTCTAATGGGAAAAAATGATTCAGTTTTCGAACAAATCACTCCTTTAACAGCCTTCCAGAATGAATTAAGTTCAAGAACCGAGGTTCCTTTATAGTTCAATTGGAGAGTAAACGGAAACAAAAAATACCAAACACAATACAAGCAGTTGCTTAGCATATAGATACCTAGTAAACTTTTTAAAATTAAATGTAACAGGGAATTGTTAAAATGAAAAATGCACAGTATTGACAGTATTGCTATACTATAGGTGGTGGCGAGAGGCCATTTCAGTGTGGATTGGCCTCGTGGAGGAGGTGGATTTGAGATAGGCCTTTAAGAGCTGAGTAGGATTTTAATAAGCAGGAGGTAATATTTGGACTATTCTAGAATAGAGCAAATAAAGTAGCAAAAAACTGGAGATTAGATTATGTTAGGTTTAAAAGGCAAATGGGCTTTAACCTTATAGAAAAGAGAAAATCATAGATAATTTATAAATGAGAATAACAGTAAACTGTGCTTTAAGATGTTACTATTCTTAGAAAAGCTGCAGCAAATGCAGTAGTGGGGAGAGAAAACTGATGGCAACGGGGCATTGTCTGAGTGGATAAGGCACAGCTGAGAACAAGAATATTTGGTTTTATAGTTTGAAATGCAAAAGAGGCACTTATTTATGGGCCCAGCACGCTTCCGCTGCACCACTCTGCTCTCTACGAGGCACTTATTTAAATATACAGTTTACATGGTTTGCTTTTTACATGTTATTAGAGGAACCAGCTGTCTCTTAGAAAAGTGAAGCTGAATTTCCACATCTGTCTGAGAGGACACAGAAAGCCCCTCTGGCACTGATTGCAGCAGAGTCCAGCTCTGCTAGGGGAGTGCAGACATAGACCTGAGTCTGGAACCTGGCCTGCATTTCCTATGGAAATAATGCCACATGCTGGAGTTTGGTCCCAGGCCATCCACACTGGAGTATTTAACTCAAGGTGTTTAGGTATATCATTGTTCCCCCCATCTGAAAAAAATACATTTTAGTTCCAATTCAGATACAGGAATAAATCCCCAGGCAGAGGAGTACCAGAGGTGGCAGTGGGCTTAGCTAGTGTTATCTTTTGGCAATTTGGAGGTGGGTTACCTTTTAGTCTCATAAAAGAAGCCTCCTCCCCACACCCTATGCCTCAGATAGGGCACTTTTGACACATACATTCAGGCAAGGCCTAAGTCAGATGGTCTATAATTACCTATCAAAAGTGAAAAAAATCACTGCTGAGGTTCTAATAATTGATTAGCCATGAATACCCCATTTCTTTTGGGATTTGAACAATTAAATCCAACCAAGAGAGAGTAGTTCTGGCTTTTACTTATGTTTACCTCTAGTTTACTATCCAGTTAAATTCACACAAGAATGTATGTATATATATTTTCAAATGGTTGTTCTGAATTAAATTACAAACTATACATATATACACATTTTAATATAAAGATGATTATGTTGCTCATCATCAACTTCTGGGCTGTCCATCTGGAGTGAGCTCATACCTGTAAGACAATTGGGTTTGGATTTATGTTAGTATTGAGAGTGTGTTGTGATAGCATCAGGACAGTCTAGCTTGCATGGGTCTGTATGGGACCAGCAGAACCCATCTCTTTATAAGCCAGGGTTAAAGCTAGAGCTGACAGATCCTCTAGGTAAGTGAGATCTGCAGATAGTAAAGGTGATTGATAATCAGCCTTTCTCCTCAATCAAAGGAACTGAAATGTTCTGAGAAGAGAAAAACTTTGGAGAGAGAATATGGGCAAATGAGACTATTAACGTGATAAAATGAAAGGGCTCACTTACCATTGTGAGAAGCCCATAATCAGATCTTCTTTTGATAAATCAATCAGCACCTAAACAATCACAAATAAATCAGTTCCCCTTAAAAAATGTTGCACTAAATGGAAACATACTGGGATAAATGGAATTGATCATAAAAAGGTCTATTTGGCTTTCAACATGGAACCTCTCCAGAAGGACAGTGACCTCATTGTCCTGGGGAGGTGAATTGCTGTATACCCCAGGAATGTCTATATGAATGTTACAGAAAGAGAGAACAGCTTGCCTTTACTCATTAACTGATCATAATTTAAAGCAAGACACCATAGTTGCCTCAACTGTAGAAATGGGGATAATATCACCTACTTCATAGAAGTGGGCTTTAAAAAGATGAGCATAAGGAGATGTTTATTAGAATACAACTATGAGGTATTATACAAATATAATTCTTCTTTGTCTCCCCTTGGCATCTTTCTGAAGATTCTATTTCCTCTACTACTTTAAGCAAAATCCTATCATCACAAAAATATTGACGTAATAAGATCCTAGCTTTACAACAATGTTATATATATATAAAAATATACAGAAACAATACTTAATACCATAGTAGATGTTCAAATACTTATGCAATAATGAATTGGGATATTCTTGAGTTTTTTACAGTAGGATTTATCATATTAATTTATTCATCTACATCATTTAGTTTCAAGAATATTTTAAGAAACACACCCAAAATCTCCTAATGAGGCTATAACTTCCTTGAATTCAGTTCTGGTAACAGTTAAACGATCCAATCAAAATTTCTACAAGGGTGCCATTCCCAAGGAACTCTTGTTCTTGTACTTACTTTTCCTAGCTCCTTCCTTCTGTGTGAGCCAAGTGGCCTACTGTTTTTCACTGCAACGTCTAGTGACCTCTTCTGTACTTCTTCCAAGGGAACAAAAAATTCAAATCTTTAAGAAGCAAAAAGTCAGGAAATCAGAGTTACATATTTTCATTGAAAGTGTGTCATCCATTTTCCTACTTTTGAAACAGAAGATATATAGACTATTGAGAATAGCTTATAGAACAGTATTGGCTCATAGCAGATACTCAGTGCATCACTGGCATGCTAATCATTGTCCTGGAAGTGTCAGGAGCCTGTTTGCCTCTCTTCAGTCATTGGACTATTGTGCTTTGTGGTCTTGGTGCTGTTGTTGAATATTAGTTGATCATATAGGTGTGGGTTTATTTCTGGGTTCTCTATTCTGTTCCATTGATGTGTGTGTCTGTTTTTATGCCAGTAACATTCTGTTTGATTACTGTAGCTTTGTAATATACTAGTAGTTGAAATTGAGGAGTGTGATGCCTCTGGCTTTGTTCTTTCTCAAGGTTGCTTTGGGTCTTTTATAGTTTCATGCAAATTTTAGGATTGTTTATTCTATCTCTATGAAATATACCTGGGATTTTGATAGGGATTCTGTTGAATCTGTAGATTGCTGTGGATAGTATTAATTTTTCAATTCATGAGCACAAACTATCCATTTATTTATGTCCCCTTCAATTTCTTTCATTAATGTCTTATAGTTTTCAATCTACAGGTCTTTCACTTTCTTGGTTAAATTTATTCCTAGGTATTTTATTCTTTATAATATTTTAAATGGGATTAATTTATCCCCTGTTCATTAGTGTACAGAAATGCAACATATTTTGGTATATTGACTTTGTATCCTGTAACTTTCTTACATTTGTTGATTAGTTTCAACAGTTTTTTTGTGTGGATTCTTTAGGATTTTCTATGTATAGTATGTCATCAGTAAATAGTAACAATTTTACTTCTCTCCAATTTGGGGGCCTTTTATTTCTTTTTGTTGCCTGATTGCTTTGGCTAGGACTTCCAGTACTATGTTGAATAAAGGTGACAAGAATGGGCATAGCACTCTTGTCTTGTTCCTGATCTTAGGTTTAAAGCTTTTTATCATTGAACATGCTATCAGTGTGGGCTTGTCATATATGGCCTTTGTTATGTTGAGAGTTTTCATTATGAATGAATGTATGTGAAATGCTTTTTCTGCTTCTATTGAGATGATATTACTGATTCAAAATCCTTACTAGTAATTGGTCTATTCAGATTTTCTATTTCTTCATGATTGCCTTGGTGGGTTGTATGTATCTAGGAATTTACCCATTTCTTCTAGGTTGTTAAATCTGTTGGTGTATAATTGTAGTCTTTTATGATCCTTTCTATTTCTGTGGTATCAGCCTGGCTCAGTGGTTGAGCACTGACCTATGAACCAGGAGTTCACGGCTCAAATCCCCGGGGGGGGGGGGGGGGGGGGAGGCATGCAGCTGATCAGTGATTCTCTCTCATCATTGATATTTCTATCTCTCTGAAATCAATAATATATATATTTCTGTGGTATCATTTGTAATGTTTCTTTTTTCTGATTTTATTTTGTCTTTTTTCCTTGTTACATCTAGCTAAAGGTTTATCAACTTTATCTTTTCAAAGAACCAGCTCTTAGTTTTATCTTTTCTATTGTCCTTTTAGTTTATTTCATTTATTCCCACTCTGATCTTTTTCTTTCCTTCTAACTTTGGGCTTTGATCTCGTTTATTCATTTAGAGATTTATCGCTATGAACTTCCCACTTAGAACTGCTTTTGTTGCATTCCATTTTCATTTCTCTTGATTTCTTTGTTGACCCATTGGTTGTTCAATAACACGTTGTTTAATCTCCACATAATTATGAACTGTCCAGTTTTCCTCTTTTAATTAATTTCTGATTTCATGCCATTTGATTGAAATCATATTGAGCATCTTTTCCGGTCTTCCTAAATTAAGACTTTAGTGGTCTAACATGATCTATCCTGAGGAGTGTTCCATATGCATTTGAGAATGTACCTATATTCAGCTGCTTTGGATGGAATGTTCTGTATATACTTGTTAAGGTCAATGTTGCCTTACTGATTTTCTGTCTGGTCCCATAGTCAAGGGAAGTAAAAGCTAAAATGGGTAGTTATTCTAAGATAAGAGAAAACCAAAATTATCAGGTATATCTTCCTTGGCTGGCTAGAAATGTCTTCTCAGGATTCTGAAGAAGGAAGCAATGATGAGATTTTTATTTCTGTACCTTGAGGCCACTTGAAATAAAAAATGGATAAGACTTACCCCCACAAAGCCATCGAAAACAAGCAATGTCCCCCAAGGACATGGGTGGACAAGGTATTGAGGGTATCTGTCTCCTATGTTTTGTTGAAGGAGGGAAGAGAGGCCAAAGGACTTGCTTTAGAGAAAATTTTATGTTTATTTTTAACTTCTGCTCTAAAACAGATTCAAAGAAAATATATTTAACCAGATTAAAATCCTTTTCCTGCCAAAGAGGCTTCATTTAAAGGTGTGGAATATTACATAATCAGGAATACTTTAGCTCCTATGACCACGTAAGTAGTCAGCTGTTTTGCTAAACTGCCCTGGCAACTCTTTTCTTCCACTAAAGTATATAGTAGCTTCATGGAGGCATAGACCATGTTGTCCTGTTCAACCCTAGCCCTTCACATGATCCGGCAGACTGCCAGGCACACAACAGGTGCTCAGCAAGTACCTGAGTGGGTGAGGCACTCTGGGCAGGCCGACTGGACCACTTACGTCTCATCGAACCAGGGTTCTACGGTCTTCCGCTTCACTGAGGTCTTCTTACGACTTGCCCACCTCCTTTCTGGCAACAAGTAGATACGGACATAAGGATCAACTCCACTGCTGGTACAGCGTGTCAGGTTTCTGATTTGGTTTCAAAGACATTAAAGAAAAAAGGTCCTGATTTTCAAACATTGAAAACACTCATGTGGAGAAAGCTGTACTAGCTATTGAGCTTTAGGTGCCCTTGAGGATAAAAATGCCCAGGAGTCTAGATGACCAACAAAGCAAAAGTCTGTAGGATTGGGAGGACAAAACATCCGATGCATGGTTTTGACAACATGAGTTTTCGTATAGTTTGGAGTACAGCTAAATACTTTCCATCTAAAGGAAGTTGAGAAAATGTACTGACTCCCACTACCCCAGACAGTTTGGCAGCGCTTGCTTCTGAGCAAAGCCCTTGGCTTGAGCCCATCAACACCATTGAGGACCTTGTCACTCACAGCAAGACAGCCTTCAAACCTCACTGGTTCCCATTGTATTGTCTACTAGTATCTTGGGGCTGCCCATCTCTGCCAAGTGCCCCCCTCCATTTTGGGTCTTTACCTGCAGCCGTTGATTAGCACGCTGAGGCAGCGCCGCAGACATACATAACGCACCGTGAGCTGAATCTCGCCCAGCCTCCGCGGCCTGAAATCCCTGCCCCTGCAAAGAAAGGGCTGGTCACTTCTCTTGCCTTTACAAGTGTTGGCCTCTCTCCCTATCCCCAAGACAAAGCATGTCCTGCTTTCGGAACATGGGTTAATTTAAAAATTCTTCAGTTGGATGTCAGTTCCATCCCACATTCACGTGTAATGATCCTGCTTTACCACAGGAAGAGCATGAGCGCTGGAGTGGGACCTGCCTTACAGCGTGACTGCTTGTGGGACCTTGGGTGAGTTGACTTTTAGGATAGTAAGTTCTATTTCAGAGGGTTATTGTGAAAATGGAATTAAATAATGCACTATCCCCATCATAAGCACTTAAGTGGCAGTCATTGATTACATAATTCCATATTATCCCTGTGTAACTTCAGAATTCAGGGAAGATTTCTGCTGAAACAGCCAAAGTCCAGGGTCTATTTACAGTTTTGTATATAGACTGGTGTACATGTGCTCACTTGCTCTCCCCTCCACCCCACCCCTCCCCTGGGTTCTTTCTACCACGCCATGCTGCCTCTCGTGAAGCCATTCTGTGAAAAACCAGAACTTGAACAGAAAAGTAAGTTCATATCTACTTTTCCCTCCAGGGAGTTATTTTTCAGGCAGGTGATCTTAGAAAAGATTAAGCAAAGAAGTGCATACTCAATGGTGAGGCTGATATCTGTCAGGTCAAAGCAGGAAGTGGCCAGGGAGTTGAGCGAGGACATGCTGGGAGCCAGCCTCGCGGGTGGCCATGCGAATGGGGAGGCAAGGCATTTCATGGGTCTGGGTGACTTGATGGGCCCTGGAGAGTGGGGGCCTGGGACAGTCAGGAAGATGGAAGTCGAACTCTTCTTCTCCCCCATGGGCTCACAGAAACCTTTGGCACTGTCCTTGCCTTTCGGCTCTGGGCCTGTCGCTTGGGGTGTGGGCTCGGTGGCAGCAGTGGTGGCACTGGTGGCTGGCGTGGTGCTCTTGGAGGCTTCCTTGGTACCAGAAGCAGGGTCTGGGGGGCAGGGCAAGTCTGCAGGACCCTCTCCCTGGGGTGGATCTTTGGGACCTTGATCGGTGGCCACCTTCTTAATGAACAGAGGGCCTTTCTTTAGGGCTTCAGGTCCTGTGTATGGGCTCCCCATCTCTCGTTCTTCCACACGTAGGAACTGCAAGCAAATGACAGGGTTGTTTATGGGCTGAGCCCACCACTTCCATTTCCCTCTCACCTTAACCTCTGGGAAATGGTTCCTTCTCTTTTTTTTCTGGGAGGAACAGTTTTCTCAAAACTCCCAATTCCTTCCTGACTGCCCAATACAATTTTCCCTCCAGACCATGTTTTCCTTAACCTCTCTCGGCCTTGCCCCTTCTGACCAGTACTTCTCTATCTTCCCTCTTCCTCCTGCCTCCCTTGTGGGTTTTCATGAAGACTCAGTCCTGGTCCCTCCTTGCTGTACTCATACTGGCTGCACGAGAGTTGCACTCTCAGCATGCAACTCCCAGACCTGTACCTCAGTCCTCCCTCCCCTTAACCTTCACACACATCACCAGCTGCCTTCTGGATATGGTTGTTTTCCAACTGTCACCTATTCGCCATTACTTTCCCTAAAATGTGTTTTCTATCCACACATACCTCTGTGGCGCTAGCACCAAATTTTCAAACTTCAGCCATTGCATTTCCTCTTTTCCCTTCATTATTTATCAGGACCCTTGCTAAGGGTTCCATTTCTAGCAATATGGTGGTTAAAATATTCTGAAAAACATCTTGTTAGGAATGCCCCAATAAAATAAACATCCTTTTAAATAGCCAAAATCACAAAGAAAGTAAAGTCCCTAGGGCTTAAAAAAGGGTGGGGTGGGGGAGGGAGGAGAAAACTAAAAAATAAAGGTTAAGCTTTGAGGGTCATTTATCAACCGTGGAATCCAAGGGATTAGGAAAAGAGGCCTTGGTCAGTGTGAGACTGGGAGTTGAAGTAGAACCTATGAAGGTGGGATCTCTAGTGAAAAAGTAGCCTAGGATACACATTCCACCCACCAGCAAAACCTAATGACAGGACACGTGTCTGTCTCAGCCTGAATCTGGTTGGGGGGAAATTAAGTCTTTTCTAACAATAGGGCACCTGTAGGCCTCTCTCATATGAATTTCAACTATCTGTGGTGTCTTGAAACCCAAAGTTAAAAATTAACATAGGCCCTGGCTGGGTAGCTTAGTTGGTTGGAGTGTTGTTCCAATATGCCAGGGCTGCAGGTTCAATCCCCAGTCGGGGCACATACAAGAGTCAACCAATGAATGCATAAATAAGTGGAACAACAAATCGATGTTTCTCTTTCCCTCTCTTTCTCTAAAAATCCATACCTAAATTAACATTAAAAAGAACCCATATTTGTAGTTCCCCTGAGGTTCTTGGCTGCAGCAATAGCAGAGTCTCTTTGGAAGTGAACAACCTCAATCCAGCTCACAAAGGAACACTGACCATGTTTCAGCCCAAGTTGCCAAACACAGAAATGAGTCATCATGAAAAAGCATCAACAGAAACAAAATTCAAATCATAAGATCTTCAGGTAATAGAATTCAGGTAATATGCCTTAAAAGTATTTTCAAATGACTAAAGATGAAATAAAGACCATGAACAGGTTAAAGAGCAGATTAGGCATAGCCAAAGAAGGATTTAGTGGACTGGAAGATAGATCTGAAAAAATTAGAATATAGCACCAAGAGACAAAAAATAGAAAATATGAAGATGATGAGAAGGTTCAGCATGGAAGGGGCTCTGGAAGGATTAAAACAGGGGTCCTCAAACTTTTTAAACGGGGCCAGTTCACTGTCCCTCCGACCGTTGGAGGGCCAGACTGTAGTTTAAAAAAAAACTATTAACAAATTGCTATGCACACTGCACATATCTTATTTTGAAGTAAAAAAACAAAACGGGAACAAATACAATATTTGTATTTGCATGTGGCCCGCGGGCCGTAGTTTGAGGACCCCTGGATTAAAAGAATGGGAGAGGCAATATTTGAAGAGGTAATGGCTGATAATATTCCAAAACTATGGAAAATATGAATCCATCTCCTAGCTTCTTCCCAACATAGAGCAAGTACTTAAGTGTTGGGGCCATCTACCTTGTACCAGAGCTCCACCCCCTACTGGCGGGGGGGGGGCGAGGAAAGGGAGAGAGTTACCCGAAGCACCAGCCTCATGGAGATGAGGCTGTCCAGGCCCGAGTGGTCCAGCTGGAAGCGCTGCTCAAGGGTCAGGTCTGCATAGGGGAGGATCTGGCACAGGGGTAACTCCAGCACTCCCAGAGCACACTCCTGGTCGTCATCCAGGACCTGAGCAGTGGGCCAGCCACAAAATGAGAATCACCACCACCACCACCACCCCCCTCTGGGCCCAGCCACTTCTAATTCACTTCTGTCAGCATGTACTGTGCTGCTGTTGGCCTCTGGTCCTGTTCTGAAAACCGGGAATGGGATCAGGCCTGCTCCCTGCCTCCGTCAGGAAGAGAGGGACTCGGGGTAGAGGCAGTTAGGGTCTCTATAAGGCAAGTGTTCGGAGACAAAGGGCCTGGGGCTTTCAGGGCTGGTGAGCTGTACTGCTCCATGACCAGACACCAGGCTGAGGCCCCAGATCCCCAGGGTCTCAGACACGTCATTGTTTAATCCTCCATTCGCTCTTCCACAGATCTTTTGTGAAAATTAACATTTTAAAATAAATAAATACATCAGAAATGTCCTGAGTAGATTTCAACACAGGCCACTCTGGGTGCTGTGTAACAGCCAGAAAGGCTTTCACAGGGAGAGCCAAGGGACCTGAGGGGTGTGCCCACAGCCTTTACCCAGTGACCTTGGGCACCAGCCTCCCTGAGATGTGGGAGGCCTTGGGGCGGGGCTGACTGGCCAGGGGAACCTGCTCGAGGTGCACTTGGAGCTCCCACCCTCCTGGCCGAGACACCTCTTAGCTCTGATCCAACAGCCCAGCTGCCAGCAAACCTTGAGACGCAGCTGCTCAGATGCCACATTGCACACAAAGAAGGAGAACACCTGGCTCCACACAGGGTCCTTGCTGCGGGGACAGGTCTGGGGACAGAGGAAGAGAGGCCATTAAAGGGTCTGGTTGGGCAGAGCAGGATACCCTGTGCTCTCACTCCAGCCCCCAGGGACCTCTGGTGGCCTCTGCCCATGATCAGACCCACACACGCTTGTGGGAGGCATTAGGGCGGAGCAGCCAGACTTAAAGGGGCTGAGAGTCATGTGAGCGTCGTGCTCACTTGGGAGGGAGTTTCTGCTGCTGGACGGGGAGACGGGGTGGTGGAAAGGACTTAGAGTCACGCCTAAACTTGAACCCCAGCTCTGCTGCTTTCTAGCATGTGCCCTGGGGTAAGTCACTGATCTCTCTCCCTCAGATTCGTGAACTATGAAACTATTTGTGAGGTTACTTTGGAGACTAAATAAAATATAAAGTGTATAGAATGTGTCCTGGCACCTACTTGGCATTCAGTGTAAGCTAATTCCCTTGTCTTTTGCTTCTCTCCCTGAGAAGGGCTGGGGCCCCCATTTCCGTACCCCATGGCTACACACCAAGCTGTCTTACCTTACTCACATATGTCTTCTTGCCTACAGATAGCTTGACATAGGAAGAAGGGTCTCTGCTCACCTTATTCTGTGAGGGGGCAAATCACAATGAGGGTGGCATCATCAGTGTCAGCCTAAGATGCCCACCCTCGCCCCACTCCCAGCCCTCAGGAGCATCAGTGGGACTTGTGGCCAGCCAGCTGCTGCCGTCACTGTGCAAGCACCTGACAGGGCTGCTCCCAGGGGGGCCTCCGTGAACAGTGAGCTGGCTGGGTACAGGCTCTGGCTCCCTGGCATTATGGAGACACACAGGGTGGATTCAAGTTCCAGCTCCTCCCTTAGGTGTGTGACCCAGCCTTAACCTTCCGGGTCCTATTTGTAAAATGGCAATAAAATTGGACATGGTCATCGTGTCTCGTGGGCACAATGAATGTGGGGGATGAGTTGCCAAGCCCGGTGCCTTTGACAAGGACAGCTCTTGCCAAACCCAGGCTGTGTGCGCAGACTCGCCCGGAAAACATGGGGCTGGGGAAAAGGAGTTCTGACTTGCTCTCAGGTTTTCAGCCACACACACACTCTCACCTTGGCAAATCTGGAGAGTTTTTTGGCTCGATATTCACCATTCAGGTAGTCAAAAGGGTTTCTCTGCAGCACAAGAAGACATTTCCGTTTCAAGTGAGCATTAGAAAGGGGGGGCACAAGGCAGGCGGGGTGTGTGACACTGACCATGTCACCACTCACCGGCAGGTTGCAGGCGCTGTCCAAGAAGACCACAAGGATGGCAGTGGAAAGGCCAGCGTGGTCCTGCAAGCAGACACAGACCTCGTTAGGTCCCCATGGAGGGAAGCCAGCCCCTGCCCTCCAGGCTGGTGAGAAGATCCCTCAACCTAGCTTTTCTGTCAGCGCTGAGACCCAACTGCAGCACGACAGGTGCAAGTCAGACACAGTGGATTTTCCCTGTGGTCTAGGCCAGTGGTCGGCAAACTCATTAGTCAACAGAGCCAAATATCAACAGTACTTCTTCAAAGTAGACTCGCCCAGGCTGAAAACCAACTTCTGCGCATGGGCCATAAAGTTTCAATCACACTGTACGCGCGCCCGACGTGGTATTTTGTGGAAGAGCCACACACAAGGGGCCAAAGAGCCGCATGTGGCTCGCCAGCCGCAGTTTGCCGACCACCGTTGTGCGGGCACGCATGTACGGTACGATTGAAACTTCATGGCCCATGCGCAGAAGTCGGTATTTTGTGGAAGAGCCACACTCAAGGGGCCAAAGAGCCGCATGTGGCTCGCGAGCCGCAGTTTGCCGACCACTGGTCTAGGCTGACAGGCACCAGCAGCGTTTAAGGATCCCAGCTTCCCTGAAGGAGACTGAGATGCTCAGAGGAGAGAGAGAAAGACCAGGAGCTGCCCTGTGTGGAGACAGGGTGAGGGACAGGTTCTCTAAAAGGTGGGGCTGGCCCGAAGATTAAGCAAGGTCTGGGGGCTCAGCCCACACGTGACCAGCCCTGCTTTCTGCTAGGGAGCCCCAACACCTTGCACTCACCTCAGTCAGAGCCTCAGGGTCAGCGATCAGTGAAAGCCACTCCAGCCGCAGGTGCAGCCGCCCACTGGTTGTGTCATTCAGGACAAACCACTGCGGGGAGATGAGGGAAAGGAAAGCTTGGGGACAGGGACAGGCAGCTCAGTTCTGGGACCCTGTGGGGCCCCAATAGAGGCTCAAAAAGGGGAAGCAGCGCAGACTCTGGGCTGAGGGACTGGGACATGTGGGTTAGGAGGAAGTGCTACATTTGGGATGGAAAAACCCTCCTGCGCAGGCCCAGCCCTGCAGTGTGACCATCCCCCGCTGGAGGTCCTTGGTTGGGGCATTCCAGGGAAGCTTCTTCCCACCCAGGCCTTGGAAGGTCCCTGGACCCATCTGTCTCGCCCAGCACTTGCCCCTGGAGACCAGTATGTGTGGCTCAGCATGGGAGGGGCCCATTTCATAGACCAGCTGGGCTGAAGCAACCTGCGAGGGCTGTCCACAGGGAGGGCCGCACGCACAACTCTACCTCATCCACCACTCTGTTGGTCATGACATCCCCGAGGCAGATCTGCAGGCTGGAATACACAGGGAGGGGTCAGCTCGGCTCCCAGGAGGCAGCAGCGGACGGTGTGGCGGCCCACCCTGATCTACGTTCAAATACCTGAGTGGGCCCTCAAGACCCAGGATCTTATTCATGCCAGGGAACCAGTGGGAAGCCACACTCAGCTCGAGGAGGAGGGACTGTCTTAGCCATCAGGGCTGCTCTGGGCATGCTGCCCAGAGGCAGGTGGCTTCCACCCCAGAGGGGAATAAGCAGGTAATGCTGGACACATCGGCTCTGAATTATCAGTGATGGTGCTACTGGCATTGAAGTGGAATGGTTTTTCATTGTGCAAAACTGCCCATGCGTTGCAGGAATTCAGTTTCCCTGTCCTGTGCCCTCTAAATGCCATGGCTCCACTTCCCGCAGTCATTGTAACAACCCCAAATGCCTCCATCCAGAACTGCCCCCAGTGCCTTCCACAGGATCAGTTGGCATGTGTGTGCAAAGAGGTGACACCCACATTCTCAGCGTGCCTCCCACCTACCCTGACTCAAGCCAGGGGGGAAATTAATTGCATGTAACTGTTAGAAGTGTGTTTGAGCTCCAAATACACTTGAAATCAGTTACACAAAATATGAATCACAAGCCACACTTCAAACCTGCAATATTATGAAAATTACTAAGATGAGAGAAAAAGATCAGCAACATTTGCTTGCGCGCTGGTTCTTAGGCTGTCAGGTTGTGCCCCTCCCACTTTGTTTTGTTCATTCTTTTTAAATTCTGTGTTCACGGAAACAGGCTAAACAACACGGGAGTATGAAGCTTTGTGTAAAATTCAGTCCCAGCCCTCGGAGACGAGCAGTGTGAGCAGCCTGCTGTGTACATGAACACGTACGAACACACACACACACACACACACACACACACACGGGTCCCCCTGGGAAGGTGAATCGAACTGCAGGGTCGCTCCCACCTGCCCTTCTGCCGACTACATAACGGACGTCCTCCAGGTCCATACGCAGATCCTGCTTAGTGTTTAAAGCTACAGAATATCCTCTAGTTTGGCGATGGCAAATTTACTCAAACACTCAGCCAGTGTCCTCTGAGGCTGGACACACTGTGTCAGGCTCTTGCTTTGCCACCTCAGTTCTCCAATAAACAGTTCGGTTAAGGCTTTCATAGGACCTGGAAGTGGGCAGTTGGGACAGGCAGCCCCAGCCTGGCCGTGTCAGTCCTCACACACCCTGAGTTTCTGTGTGCGCCCCCTGAGTGAGTAGCCAGGTTTCCCTGACACTGGGGACCTGCCATCTGTGTCAGCTTTGCCCCTGCCCCAATGGGGACTCTGGGTACATTATTAAGAGATCAGAAAGCAGGGCCTGCGGCACATAAACCGTGGGTCCTCTCTATCCCTTGGGCCCAGAGTCCAGGGTGAAACACTCAGGAGGCATGGAGGAGGGAGGTGTGGACGGCCCTGAGACAGAAGGCCCAGTGCCCAGCTCAGCCCTCCTCACCTGCCCAGGAAGTCGTCCCTGTCAGGATCCTCGTCATACAGGTCCACCTCCAGGTCCTGCCCAGGGACTTCGTACACTAAGAACTGGAAGGAAAGAGGTAATGTGACCCGCAGGCCACGGCAGCGGGTGAAGCAGACTCACCCGTGACCCCTGGGAGCCAGGTTCAGCTCCACAGCTGCCAGCTGGAGCCCGGGCAGGCGCCGCCTTCTCAGTGCCCGGGAAGCCCTCCTGTGAGAGGCCCTCCCCGGCAGGTGGGGAGGAGAGGCGAGTGCAACCCATGGGGGTGCTCAGGGCACAGCAGCTGCAGGTGTGCTTGGCAGGCTGTGCAGCCTCCAGGGCACTTCACAGGCCGTGGGGCCTCCTTCAGGGAGTAGGGGGTGTGGTTAAGCTCAAGGGAGAACTTCAGCCCCTGGTGTCTGGCTCTGGCTGAGAGGAGGGGGCAGGACTGCCTTGAGGTTTCCTCTTTTATTTTGATTTGAAAGCCTCCAACACAGCTGCCAGGAGGGGGTAGTGGGGGAAAGGACAGGAAGCGCATCTATAAGCTGTCCTTCCGGGGCCACCGCAGCCCACCTCTGGGAGCACGGGGGTTTGGGAAGAGGGATACGCAGCCCATCCTGCCCGCCCCCAAGGCCCACTCCTTTGGCCAGTGTTGCCCCACGGGCAAGTGAGGCCCATGAGGGCAAGGGGCCGCCTGTCCCCAGCACGACCCAGAGTGGAGCCAGTTGCGGCCGAGGAGCCCCTCACCTCAAACACCTCGTTCCAGGTGGGGTTCAGGTTCTTGTAGACGGTCTTGCTGCGGAAGTGCTGCAGGCCGATGCTCACCTTGGCGTAGGGGTCCGACTTGCCTCGGATCCCCAGGAAGTGGTCCATCTGGGCCAGCTTCTCCGCCTCCAGCAAGTGGACTCTGATCACCCCCTGGAAATGCCCAGCGCAGGGATCATCACTGCTTCCTGGGAAGTACCAGCCCTCGAGGCCCACACTATCAGGCCAAAGCCTCAGACACCACCCAGCCCACCCCACCTTCTCCTGGGTCTGGATGGGGAGACGGCAGCCTCCTGGCCAAGGCCATGCAGCACGTGATGGCAGGGCCCAGAGCTCTGTCCACTGCACCTCAGTGCCCCGCCCACACCCCTGGCCTTCCCACCCTGCCCTGGGAATGGCTTCCACAGCAGCCATTTCAGCTCTGCCAACAACCAGGGCAAACCAAGCCCCCTGAGGTTTCCTGTCTGTAACCGGCAAGCAGACTGACCTCCAGTGTCATTTCTGCCCAGTGCCCAGGTGTATACAGCCCGTGGGCACTGCTTGCTGCTGGCAGTGGGTCCCTGCCTCCTAGAAGCCCAGCCCTGTCTCACCCGACCCCCCTCCCCGGGCCATGTCTTAAGGCAGAACAGAGCCAAGGCCTGGGAAGAGTAGCCTTCCTGCCTGGAACTATTTCTTTTTAAATATAAGTACGTATGTCTTTTCCCTTGGACCCAGCCATCCCACTTTCTAGCCCTAAAGCCATACTGTAAGAATGTCCTGACAGCCTGTTTGTCCCAGCAAAACACAGACGCAACTGTGTGTCAGTGGGGAACGGGTGAAATAGGTGCAGCACGCCCGCACGTGGAGCAACCGGTGGCCCCAGAATGAGGGCTCCATCCACACAGTCAGGGTGTGATCCCAGGACACGGCCTGACACAGCAAGGCGGGGGAAGTGCTATGCGGCCGTCCGCCGAGGAAAGGAGGACCTGAGGACAGATATGCACACACCAACACGGGGGCGTATCTGCCTCTTAGAAAACAAACAGTGAGAAATCAGGGGGGCGGGGATCACTGCTTCCAGGGAGAAGGGGCAGAGTAGATGGAGGGACAAGGGCTAGAAACCCGACTCCTTACGGTAACTTGGTCTTTATATTGCACGTTGGAAGCATGCACATGCTTTTATATGATTGTAAGGTTAAGGTAAAAATTAAACCCTAAAAATAGCAAATGGAGTGAAACAAATCAATATAAACATTCGTGGGCAGCTGGTGTCCCACACACACAGGCACGGTTCCCAGTGAGTCTAAGTTGCGGCCGCTTGACAGCACCCCTGGCGTGGGACACCCCTGAGGAGTGTGAGTGGCTGTGGCGCAGGTGGTGGCGTCGCATTGTCAGTCTGAGCCTCACCTGGTGGGATGGAGCCACACTCCCCGTGGGAAGGCCGACAGGAGCCGGTCCCTCACCCTCATGGCCTGAGGAGGCTGATGCCCCGCCTGGTGCTGATGGTGAAGTGGCACTTTCCCCTTTCCTGGGGCCCCGGCTCCCAGCCCTGAGGGCTCAGGGCCCCTTCTGTAGGGAGCCCCACGGCTATCCTCAGGGGCCTCCCTAGCTGGGCCCAGGATAGAGGGGGCAGTGGAGCTGAGCACCCAAGGAAGCCCCCGCTTGGCTCCGCCATTCTCCTTCCCAGTAGACCCCAAGGATGGAGTCAGAGCCTCATGACCCCGAGGATGGAGTCGGAGCCTCATTTCCCTGAAGGAGGCTGGGAGCTCCTGGAGGCTCCTGGGGGCTGCACGGTACCAGGATCCGGGAAGGAAGCCGCCTGGGCTTTGTCCGTCCCTGGATGGGTGGCTGGACAAGTCAATCCCTGGATGGGTGACTGGACAAGTCAATCCCGAGACTCAGTCTTCGCCCTATAACCTGGAGGTGCCACGTGCTCCCCTCCCCCGTGAGAATGCATTCCCCTCCAGCCATCTATCCCCAGCTCTGGGCCCTGGGCCCTGGCTGGTGCGGGTACTCACGCAGGGCAGAGGGAAGCGCAGGTTGGTCACATCCAAGCCCTTCTTCACGGGCACAGTCACGCGGTTGGGCAGCACCAGGTGGGCGGCGATGAGGTCCTCCAGCAGGCTGTCTGACATCTCACTGGGACAGTGGGCACGACCAGCTGTGAGAGGTGGCACTGCCTCCCCCAGGCCACCTGTCCCTCCACCCGTCCCCGGAGCTGGCACAGGAGCAGAGCGCCAGGGTGGGCCCTGTGCGGGAGTGTGCAGCCTGAGCCCGGCCTGCCGCCCCAGCATGGTAGCTACGAGTGCCGACCCGACGCCGTGTTAGCATCACAGGGGCGTGTGACCGTGGGAACCTGCTAACTTCTCTGGGCCTCAGTTTCCTCATCCCTGACCCGAGGATAATTCCACCTGCCCCCTAGCCTTTTACGAGGACGACTTACATGTGTGAAGGGCTGAGAACAGTGCCTGGTGCCCAGTAAGTGCTGGGTGAGTGGTCGCTACCTTAGCCCTCTGGTCCCTGACATCACATCCACATTCCCTTCCTCTGCTGGCTGACTCCATCCCCCAGAGAGGGAGCAGGGGCAGTCCCTAGAAGAGGATTCCTCCCCGCAGGTGGGGGGCAGCTGCCCACGCCTGGCGAGCCAGCGGTGCATGCCCTGGCCGGCCCAGCCGGCCCTCCCTGCGGGGGCTGTGTCCACACAGGGCTGGAGCCCTTCTCTGCTGGGGGCCTGCGGCTCTGGGTGCAGCACCCTCCCTGCCAGCCCCAGGAAGGAGGGATTTCCCAGACCAGCTCCTCCTCACCGGTGCCCCTTTAAGCCCCGCCCGCTCCCAGCCTGTGCTTGTGGCCACGTGGGGGCGGCCTCATGGGCTTCTCTCCACACACTTCTCACCGCTCATGTGCATCCACACCCACTCGGCCACCACCACACACCTGTGTTCTCCCAGGGACCCCAAGATAGAGGAACTGTCCTCCACTTTTACTGAGGAAGAGCCCAGAGAGGTGACGGAATTTGTCTAAAGTCACAGTTGCTACCCAACAGCGCCAGGAGCCTCAGTACACACACTTCCTCTAGGACATCCCATCTGACCAGAGCCACTCTCCCTGCTCTCCCACACACGTGTGTGTGCACATACGTGATGTGTATGCGTGTGCGTGTGTGTTCTGAGCACAGAGCCTGCCCGCAGAGGCCAAAAGATGCTGTCAGCCTCCCACTCCCACTCCCACACCCCAACGTTTCCCCCAGAGGGAGGGGGGCTCGGTGCCTGCCCCACTCCTCACAGGGAGCCGGGAGGGGGGCAACCACTGTGCGCCCGGCACTGACCACAGCCCCAGGCCCCCCTGGCTCTGCGGGCGGCTCTCGCGGGCACTCACTTGATTCCCGGCGCGTCCAGCAGGTTGGTCAGGCCTGTCCAGTTGATCTGCAGGTGCTGTGGGCAGAGGGGCTGCTAGTCAGGAAGGAGCCAGAAGCCCAGGACCGAGAGCCCTCTGCCCAGTGCCCCACACCCACCACACGGAGAGCCCAGCCGGCTGAGGGCGCCTGCTCGGGATGGGCAGGCTGTCAGGCCTGCTGCTTCCTGCCAGGATCACGCAGGCGTGGCCAGTGCACGTGGGCCCTGAGTGGCCCTGCAGCTTCCCCGAGCTGCTGCTGGTCTGGGGGAGAGCGGAGTCGGGTACCTCAGGCTGCCTTAGACTTCACGGGACGGGCATGTGGAGTGCCCGGGCCTAGGCGGGCTTAGGCATCTCCGTTCGTGGTTCAAGCCCAGCGCCTGGGGCCCGGCAGGCACGAGCTCCCGCCCGGGGAGTGGCAGGCCTGCCTGGGGCCCGGGGGCTCACCGGCTTCTGAAGGAAGAACACAGTCACGGCTCCCACGAAGGGCTTGTCCACCAGGAGGGGGTCCAGGATGACCCGCAGCGTGCCCTGCAACTGGATGGCACCGAGGGCTCCATGAGGGACTGCCTCCCTTCTTCCCACACCTGCTGTCTCACTGAGCCCATGCCACACACAAATGCCCAGGGCACGCACCGCTGCTCGCCAGGCGTGGGCAGCCGCCCCCACCTGCGGGGAGTGTGGTCACCGCGGGGACCACGCTCAGAAACAGAAACCTGCCACCTTTGGCCAGCTCCCCAGGGGCCATGAGCTGGCCCCCACTGCCTTCCGGGGGGCGCTGGGCTGAGGGCCTGCAGCCTTGCCCACATTCCCAGCCGGCCCGGCCAGCGGGGCCCAGGCGCGGTTCCCACTCCGCTCCTCGCTGCCTCCTCCTCGATCTGCCCATTTGCAAGCATGGGGTCTGCATCACCCATCCACAGAACCTCTGCCTTCCCTGAGCCACGGACGTCTCTCCGGGGGGACTTTACAGACAGAGACAGGCATGGGCTGAGGGGCTCTGGGCTGAGCCGCAGGTTGGGGACCCAGCAGTCACTTCCTGGCCGTGTGACCTTGGGCACGGAATCCCTCAATCATGACCTGCCTGTTTGGTGTCACCACCCCCTTTTGCAGCCTGCTCCAGTATGAGCCTGTTTTTCCCTGCCCTGACCCCACCCCCACCCCAGGGACAGGAGTGGGGGCAGTACCATCGGGCCCCACTCACCTGGATCCCGTTCACACCAGCCTGTATCTTCTGCAGCTCCACGCTGATCTCGCAGTCCCCGATGTAGCTGAAAGGGGAGGGAGAAGGAAGGTCGGCAGGAGGGGCAGGCCCACCTCTCAGAGACGTGGGGAACTTGCCCAGAGCCACCCAGCCCGAGCCCCGCCTCACCCAGATAGGGTCACCCTCACCGCCTCGGCTTTTCTCGTCTCATCACTGACCCAGGCCCCTGCACCCAGGAGTCCCACGCACATCCCCACCTCTGCCCGCGATGACCATGACTCTGAGTATCACCTTGTCCCACGACCCCATGGATGTGAAGGAGGGGCTTTTGGGGAACACAGGGCCCAGCCCTCTGCCTCGGCTATGCTCCTGCCCCCCCCCCCGCCCCCCCTGCTTCCCAGGTCTCTTCCCCATGGACAGAGCAGCCACACTGCCTATATCCAGCCCTCACCCAGGCGGTTGCTGGGGGTGGTGGAGGGAAAAGGCAATGTTCTCAGGAGCCGAGTCCTGCTGGTGTCTCCTGCCAAGTGATGGGCACAGGGAGCTCAGAATGAGTGCCTCAGAGGCTAAGGGTCCGGAGACCCTGTGAAAGGACTCGAGACTAAGGGGAGCGAGGCGGTGGCCGTCAAATATCTGCAGGGCACAGGCAGGGGAGCTAGTATCCCCTGGAAGGTCAGGGTAAGGCCTGGGGACTCCGGGAGCTGCCCAGGAAGCTGGGTGGGGAAGCCCGATGACCCTGACAGGCCCTAACTGTTCACACCAGGCTCGGTAGCAGTGCCTGGGGCCAGACCCCAAAGCTGTCACCATCCCAACACACTTGAGAACAGCCCCCAACTGGGGAAGGGCATTCCCAGAGCTGACCCTGTCTTCCCAATGTGCCCTCAGTGCAGCCTCTGGGATAAGGACACTGAAAAGGAACGGCAACATTCTGGAACCTCAGGAGTTGATCCTGGTTCCTTTAAAACACAATTCCAATCTCACCATCTCCAGGAAGACTTCCTGGGTTCAATCTCCCTTCTTACCAACTCAAGCCTGTTACAAACCTCATTCAAACACGGTGCCTTTGCCCCACCCACTCAGCTAGTCGCTCGTGTGTCTTTGCATCCTTTCGTTTTCCAAGGAGCCACAGGGCCCAGCTCCCCTGCTGGCGTCTCACAGCCCATGCGGAGCTCCCTGGGACTCACCCCACGTCCCAGCATCTTATCACCCGTGCTCCCTCTTGCTACATCCTCTCTGAGGCAGCTGCTCTGACCGTCGAGGTCAGACCTGGCCCTCGCCTCTAGGAAAGCTCAGCTCCTGGGCCTTGGTACCCAGAACATGCCTAGTGCCTGGTCTGATGGAGAAGCTGGGCCTGGGCTGAGGGGTCAGATGGTGGTGGCTCCCCCGGACCGTCCCTTCTGCTGAAACTCTTCCCCATCCCCGGCTCCAGCCCAGGGCAGTTGGGGGTATATCTGCTCTGAGGGGCAAATGAGAGTGTCTATATGCTACCCCATCTTCACACTGCTGTTCCCACAGAATGTGCCCGGACCCACCGCTGCCCCCAGGCAAGAGGCTCACCAGATCTGCAGGTCCAGGACCACCTGCCTCCGGTTGTGCTTGCTGGTGTGCGCCTGGACGCCGTTGACCCTGGGGCACTGGAAGAGAGGCCGGGGCGGGGTCAGCAGAGGCCTTGCAGCAGCGAGGCTGCCCCGCTCCCGGCACCGGGTTTTGCCCAAAATAATCAACATGCCCACTGCTCTCCTGAGGCATCAACACAGAAACCCACCCATGGTCCCATCTGCCGTGGTCACCCTGATACTTCCCTCCCTAGAATGTGCACCCTTGTTTCTCTCTCTCCTCCACAGATATTTATTGAGCACCCGCGCTGCACCAGGCGCTGGCCTGGGAGCAGGTGAAAAGCAAGGTGGCCGGGCCTGTCCTCACAGCCCAGCAGAGGAGACGGTGGTGGTGGTGGTGGTGGTGGTGGTGGTGATGTGGGGAGGGAGGTGAGGTGCAGCCTGTGCTGTCACATGACCATCTGGGGACTTCAGGAGCACCTCCCAACCCAGCTTGGGGTAGGCAGAGGTTAGAGAAGGCTTCCTGGAGGTGGCATTTAAGCAGTTCGGGCAGATGAGTAGGAATTAGCCCCTAAGGGCAAAGGAAGATGCAGGGTCCCCGGCTAAGTGATCTGACCCTCGGAATGTAAGAGCCCCACGTCAGGACCACAGTCTCCAGGCTCTGGGCCAAGGGCTGAGCTCCTAGATCACCTTTCTTCCCCCTCTGCCCACTCTCCTCCTCCTGTCAGTGGCACTGGAGGAGGGCCTGATTATTATTTAGCAAGAATCAAAAATAGGAGAACCAAGATGGCGGCACAGGTAAACACCTGTACTTGCTGCCTCTCACAATCACATCAAAATTACAACTAAAAGACGGAACAACTATCATCCAGAACCACGGGAAGGCTGGCTGAGTGGAAGTACTACAACTAGAAGTAAAGAAGAAAGCGCATTGAGACTGGTAGGAGGTGCAGAGGTGCGGAATGGGCTGGCACCCGGGTGCACTGCTTTTTTAATCAGGAGAGAGATAGAAGCTCCCGCTTGCTCTGAACTCTTGTTCTGGGTGAGACTCTGGGGGACCCAGACACATATGGGGAGAAACTGGACTGTCTGGCATCAGGGCAGGAATGTGAGGGCGGCTTTCTTTCAGATGGAGGTGCTCACAGCAGTCATTGTTCCTGCGCTGGGACCTCTCCGGTGCAGGGCTGACTGGCAGCCATTTGCTCCGCCCTGGTGATTCCCTGAGACCCTGCCCCACCCAATTTACAACCACACCCAAGCTGTGCACAGTGGCTTTTGCATATGAATGGCCTGTCCTTTATCAGCCTAAAACCTGTCAAACAGGCAGCAGCGGGATCAGGGAGCCCCAAAGCTATTAAAAGAAGGCCCAAGGCCGGCAGCAGCAGCCTGCCTTGCTTCACAGCTGGGCCTTGTCTGGGCACTTCCAAACCCAATACAAAGAGGAGGAATCTGCAGATCTCTCTGTAGCTCCTACTGGGAGGCCCCAGGCAGTGGCTGACTTTGCACCTCCCTGGGGACCCAAGAGCCAGTGTACCCAGTGGTCAGTGTGAGACGAGACCAGATTACAACTCTACACATCCATAGAGACACACTCAAGGGGCAGACTCAGTGAGCACCAAAGCCCCACTGAAGCAAGTCCTGCCCCATAAGGATGTCTCCTGCACAGCAGCTCTTCCATTGTAGACACAGCTGGTCCCTACAGCCAATTGGCCTGGAGGTCAATTCCTCCCAGTGATACCAACAGCAATCAAGTCTTAACTACAACAAGACTGTGCACACAGCCCACAAAGGGGTGCACCAAGAGTGTCCACCTCAGGTGACTGGGGAGGCTGAGCCACTGGGCCCAATAGGACACCAACCACACAAGGCCACTCTATCAACTCAAGGAGACTTAGCAGCTCTACCCAATACATAGAAACAAACTCAGGGAAGCAGCCAAAATGCGGAGACAAAGAAACATGTCATAAATGAAAGAAATGGAAGAAAGCAAAATACTGGATAGAGTTCAAAACCACAGTTTTTACTCAAAAATCTTCTAGAAACCTTCAAGGATCTTAGTGAGACCTTCAAGGATCTTAGTGAGAATGCCAAAAAAATGGAAAAGGACCAGTCAGAAATTAAGCATACACTGACTGAAATAAAGAATAATATACAGAGATTCAACAGTAGATTAGAGGATTCCAAGAATCAAGTCAAAGATTTAAAATATGAGGAAGCAAAAAAACACCCAACCAGAAGAGCAAAAAGAAAAAAGAATCCAAAAATATGAAGATAGTGTAAGGAGCCTCTGGGACAACTTCAAGTGTACCAACATCTGAATTATGGGGGTGCCAGAAGAAGAGAGAGAGCAAGATATTGAAAACCTATTTGAAGAAATAATGACAGAAAACTTCCCCTACCTGGTGAAATAAATAGACTTACAAGTCCAGGAATCGCAGAGAACCCCAAACAAGAGGAATCCAAAGAGGACCACACCAAAGCACATCATAATTAAAATTCCAAGGGCAAAAGATAAAGAGAGAATCTTAAAAGCAGCAAGAGAAAAACAGTTACCTACAAGGTACCCATATGACTGTCAGCTGATTTCTCAACAGAAACTATGCAGGCCAGAAGGAAGTGGGAAGAAATATTCAAAGTGATGAATAGCAAGAACCTACAACCAAGATAACTCTACCCAGCAAAGCTATCATTCAGAATTGAAGGTCAGATAAAGAGCTTCACAGACAAGAAGAAGCTAAAGGCGTTCATCACCACCAAACCAGGATTATATGAAATGCTGAAGGGTATTCTTTAAGAAGAGGAAGAAGAAGAAAAAGGTAAACTCTATGAACAAAGTGACGACAAATACATATCTATCAACAAGTGAATCTAAAAATCAAATGAATAAAAAATCTCATGAACAGAATAAACTGGTGAATGTAATAGAATCAGGGGCATAGAAAGGGAGCGGACTGACAATTCTCGGGGGAAAGAGGGTGTGGGGGGTGCAGGAAGTGATTGGACGAAGATCTTACACCTATGGACGAGGACAGTGGAGGGGCGAGGGCCTGGGGAGGGGTGGGAACTGGATGGAGGGGAGCTATGGGGGCGTGGAGAGGAACATCCATAATAATCTGAATAAAGATTTTTAAAAAAGAATCAAAAATAAATTTCATTTGAATTTGATACACATACTGAAGTGGACGGGTGAGACTCACAAATGACTGGAATTTAGTGTGAAATGCGCTTTAGAAAAGATGACAAGAGGGACAGAGGCATGGGCATGTGCTAAAGCAACACAGCAAACGGCTCACTGGGTAATCCAGACGGTTCTCTCAATTTTGTTTTTGAAAAGTTTCATAATAAAATATTAAAGAGCCGAAACCGGTTTGGCTCAGTGGATAGAGCGTCGGCCTGCGGACTCAAGGGTCCCAGGTTTGGTTCCGGTCAAGGGCATGTACCTGGGTTGCGGGCACATCCCCAGTGGGAGATGTGCAGGAGGCAGCTGGTCGATGTTTCTCTCTCATCGATGTTTCTAACTCTCTATCCCTCTCCCTTCCTCTCTGTAAAAAATCAATAAAATATATTAAAAAAAAATATCAAAGAAAAAACGTGGTCAGACTAGAGGAAATATTTCATCATCTCTCTATTCTCCTAGAAAGTGATGTTTACATATGCACTGTCCCATGAAAAGTTATCAAAGAGCACAGAGCCAAACATGCAGGGAAAACAGTATTATAGGGGCACGCTGAGCAGTTAATTAAAATTATGTCGTTTCTCCAGAGTTTTTGATATGCGTGATATGTCAAATGTGTAAGCTGCTGTGGTTTGTTTTCTCATCCTCATATTTATTTAACATTCATTTTTGTCCTCATTTTACATTCTCTTTCTTTAAGGGAGTTCCCAGAATTGTAGAAGCTTCCGGCCCTCAGCCCCTGGCTCTACCCTGGCCTCCAGGGCTTTGGGGTTAAAGACCAGAACAGCCAGTGGAAGCCTGGGCGGTGGGGGCGGGGAGGGGGGCGGCATAACTGACTTCTCACAGCCTGGAGCCTGCTGCTCCCAGCAGGTCGGTGTGCGGGCACCTGTGAAAGCTCAGCAGCCCCAGAACCCTGTCTGCGGAGCGAGTCCCCGGGGAAGGCTGCCCTCCTGAGCCCCACCACAGAGAGGAAGGAGCCATCCTGTGAGCATCTGCTCTGCACTGCAAATGCCAACTCAGCTATCACCCTCCACAGCAGGTGAGGGCTCAAGACTACCACGGCCCCCACTCCCGAATTCACGCATTCCTCCACCACCACCACGCACACAGCCAGGCAGCATCCACCTGTATATGCACCTGCCTCCAACACAGGACCGGGACCTTCCTGAAAGGCAGGGACACAGCCACACCCACCTCTGTCTACGTCTACGGTGGGTGCCGCGAACACATGCTCCATGTCATACGTGAGTGAACACGGAATGAACAAATGAACCAGCAGATTCTGGGACGAGCCAGGCCTGGCAGAGTCTGAGTGGCATGAGCCAGAATCTCCAGGGCTCAGGCAAGCCTGATCCAGCCCCCACTCGGGGCGGGGGGGAGGGGGTGCATCCGAGCTGGGTCCTTGCTCTGGGGCTGGCAGACAGCTCTCAGCAGACTGGCCTCACTCAGACACCTGCTTATTCCAGAGCAGATTAGAGGCCCAGGCCTCCGGTTTACTGGGTGATGACACCCCACAGTTCTCTGCCTGGGGGATGCGTTTTCAGATGACCAAAGTAAGACTCACATCCAGGAGGCCCTTTGGGGCAAGAGGGGTGGGGCAGGAGGTGGCATCGGAAGCGCAGTCGAGAATAGGGATGTGGGGTTAGGTATGTTAAACAGAAGCTTCTTTCACCCCGAGTCTGGGCTCTGGACACCGACCGCCAGAATCAATGGACTGGCACAGCATCACACCCTGCTCCAAGGCGCTATCCACTCCCAGAGGGCGTGCCCTCCCCAGCTAGTGCCCGGGGGTAGCCAGTGTGACTTGGACATCTTGTATCTGGCTGGCTTCCACCCTGCATGACAACCTTTCAAACTTTGGCTGAAGAAATCTGGAATTGGCCCTAACCGGTTTGGCTCAGCGGATAGAGCGTCAGCCTGCGGACTGAAGGGTCCCAGGTTGGATTCTGGTCAAGGGCATGTACCCTGGTTGCAGGCACATCCCCAGTAGGGAGCGTGCAAGAGGCAGCTGATTGATGTTTCTCTCTCATCGATGTTTCTAACTCTCTATCCCTTTCCCCTCCTCTCTGTAAAAAATCAATAAAATATATTTTAAAAAAAAGAAAAAGAAATCTGGAATTGTTTCCCACCCCAGCTCTGATCTGAGTGGGGCTTGCTCAGATCTGCATAGATGGTGCTGGGACCCAGGAGCCAGGGGTCTAGATGGAGGCCCAGGGGCTGGGCGGTGCCAGTGGGGGCCGGGCCCCCGGTGAAGCCCAGTGGGATCCTTTCCGCCAGCCGTGACGGGGGCGGGGGACAGAGAAAAGGCCCAGGCCGCCCTTCCCGAGACAGCACTGACCTTCCGTCCGAAGTCGAGCTTGGTGAAGGTGAAGGTCCTCAGGTGGACGCTCTTCTCCCGGATCTTGGGCTCGAGTTTCTCCCGGATCTTGCTTTCCATAATTAAGCTCAGGTAGGGCCAGATCTGGGAGATGATCTGTGGGGACAGGAAGAGGCCCTCGGTGGTCAGGTCTGTGAACCCCACCCCAGACCCTCGGCTGCCTGAATGACGCTTTCAGGCCCTGGAGCTGGCCCTCTCTGGTCTAATCCCAGCCCGCACTAAAAACCTAACTTGACGTTTCACTTCCAAAATTTAACAAAATTTTATATTTTAAAATTCTATTTTATATATATGCATATAAGGGCCACGGATCCTTACTCTGCACTGCCCATCTGCCCATCCAGCCGCCGTCTGTGCACCGCACAGCGGGTAACGACAGCAGTGGTTCTCACTCTTGTGTCAGCAGCAGGCCCCCACGATCTGGTGCTGTTTGCAGAACCCCATGAGACACACAGTCATGGGCTATACCCAATGATGTGAAGCCCTTCGGTCCTGTGCTAACACATAAATTATCTGAATCCTCGCTGCGGGATAAGTGAGTAGCAGCTGGCTAGAAGTTTAAGGAAAAAAATCACGAAGAGAAACAAATTGTTTCCTGTGGATTTAGGCTTTTTCTAGCCATCAGAACAGGCTGCCTTCTCCGGCAGATTTCTATGCAGAATGACCCACGGCTGGTCTGGGCACCCCGTGCAGGGCCGGGGAGGGGAAGGCAGCAGAGACGGGCCTGGTGCCCGGAGAGGGTGATCAGAGAGGAGCAAAGGCGTCTTCCTCTTCCTTCTCTCAGGCTGGGGCCTCCGTTTACAGATGCGCCTCCCCGGCCTGGAGGCAGGAGGCTCGTCCCCCCCTCTCTCAGGGGCCTCTCTAGGGGCTGGTCCCATCCTCCCGTCTCGCTGCTGTGTCCTTTGCCAAGTGCCTCTGGAGCACTACGCTCTTTGGGATGTACTTGGTGCCCTAGTGTGTGGTTCGTCTACGTAACTGTTTCCCATCCGGGAGCCTCACTCCTCTGGTCTGTGTGTGTTGATGCAAGAAGATAGCGTGCATGCGGGGCCTGTGGACTCGCAAGCACACACAAACACACTACCGGGGGCACAGGACACGGTTTGTCCCAGAGGCCCTGGGCCCACAGATATTAATTAATTTACAGAAATTAATCCGCAGAAATCTGTTCCCTCCTCCTAAAGCAGCAAACTACTTCCTCCAAATTTTACCAAGAGGCTGAGAACAGGTTTTTTTTAAAATATATATTTTTA